AATATATATATATATATATATATATATATATATATATATATATATATATATTTTTTTTTTTTTTTTTTTTTATTTTTTTTTAAGCTAGGTGCGCAGGGTTGGACATAAACATCTGCTGCTGTTAAAAAAAAAAAACTGATACGAGGAACATGAGCTTTAAACTCATCAACGTTTTTGACCTAATCCTTCCTTTTCCCCTTTTCTTCTTTGCGAATTTGATGATTGTGTCTCGTGGTTTTGTGTCGCTCTGCAGGTGCTGCGTTATTTTGACTACGTTTTCACAGGGGTCTTCACATTTGAAATGTTGATCAAGGTAACAAAGTATCACTGAGAGATTGTGGGTGTTCTATGTCTGTAATACGTATATGCATATATATTTTAACTGTTAAATGTGCAGTGAAGTGTGTGAGTGTGTGTGTGTGTGTAAGTTTGTGTCTGAAATCTACATGAAAGGGTTCCTACATTGTGTTTGGAAAAGTATGGAATTTGCTTCTACTCTTTCCATGTTGTGATCTGCATTTGTTGCAGATTTTACTATCAATACTTCTTCTAAAACATTTAGAGACTCTTTTGATTTTTTTTTTAAACCCTCAAACAAGTAGAGACTTAATCTAACTGAATATTTCTTTCCAAATTTAAGCATTTTTTCTGTTTTTTTTACTTGTTCAGTCTTAGTTAAAATATCTCTAATTAGGACCGAGCAAACTGAAAACCAGTCCACTCCAACCACCAGCTCAGTTTTTCCTTCTACATCCCATAACTTGGATAGAAAGAAGTCTGTAGTGATGAAGCGAGGGATGTGTAGGAACCCCAGCATGTGCTTGTCTGTGTCTGTGTGGTTCTGAACGCTCTTCGTGTTTTCCAGATGGTCGTTCTCGGCTTGTTTCTCCACCAAGGGTCTTACTTTCGTGACTTGTGGAACATACTGGACTTTATAGTGGTTAGTGGTGCTCTGGTGGCCTTTGCCTTCACGTAAGTGCCCCACTTCACCACCCCTTCACTCTCCTCTTGGTCACCTTCACCACACGCACACACACACAGACACACACACACACACACACACAGACACACACACACACACACAGACATATTTTACCATCCACAGAAAGGCCCGGGCTACACAGCCTTGTACGTTTAGTTACCCAGACAATCCTGATCTGTCCTCTCTTTCTTTCTCTCTCTGCTATTGTCTCTCTCTGGTATGTTTAAGAAATCTTCATCCTCTTCCTCTTTGCTATCTGCCTTTTCTTTCTTCCTCTCACTGTTGATTCTGTGTTATTTTAATTATCTTTCTGTCTTTCTTCGTTCTCTTCCTCGGGTACTGTCTGCTCTATTCATCTCTGTCCTCAATGAACCCACCTTCTTTGACTGCAGTCACTTCTTCTTCACTGCGTCACGTAATTCACGCCCAGTTTCCATCTCAGTTTCCTCATCGGTCAGCATTACGTATTTCAATCAAGCGGTCTTTCTACACATCATTCCCAGTTTCATCTGATGACACCCCGTCTCATGATACTTCTCACCCAAATCTCATATCTACACTCCGGAACAGGAAATTGGCTTCTTGACGTTTGCTTTTTCTTGAGATTTGTTCAGGAGCTTTCCTGACGTTCCAAAGAACGTTTTAACTTCCACAAACATCAGCGGACAAATATTCTCACCGCTGACACTCAGATACGTTTCTGGAGTGTAGTGGCAGCATCTCTAACTTCCTCCTTCCTCCCAACACATGGAAAACCTAACCCTACATCTGTCCCTTCACTGTTTTATAAACCATCGCTCACCAGTTGCTCCTTTTGAACAGTATTACTCCCCATATTCCTTGCTCCTGTTCCCTTATTTTTCCCCTATTTTTCAAATCATGCCGACCTGATATTTCCTCCAAGCAGGCCGTGAGTCCTCCCTTCCTCTTTTTTTGCATCTAAATATCTAGTTCTGGTCCTTCAGTCCCTTGTTCTACACGTCTAAGATCCTCCATTGTTCCTTACTGATCAGACTCCTCCCTCCCCTCTTGCCAGCCTTATTCCTAACATACAGCCAGTAGGATACCGTCGAGTCGATCTGTGTGCTCAGTTTTCCATCCTCAATAAAGTGTCGTCCTCTTCAACATGTCTTTTGGGCATAAAACTAATAACTTGATGGCTTTGACGAAATCCCAGTAAATTGCGTTTCATTGTCGAATTTATTCAAGAAAGCGATTTCAGTTATGCAACGTATGTTTTATTTGGCATGAAGTGGAAATTAAGCTTTGTACCTCATGCTCAAAATTTGACCAACCACTTTTGGTTTTACGCACACTTTTAGATTTATCTTCTTAAAAAGTAACATAAAATTAATCATAGCTAATTTGACTACAGAAAAAAAAGATTAATTTTGTAGAAAGAATTGTACAGTAAAAAACATTCTGACATTATGCCATGTGTGTACTTACACATACAAATGTTTCCAATGACTCAAAGTCCATTCTCTCTTTTGCCTCAGGCACAGATAAATATCTTTATATAAACACTATTTCATAATATAATGAATAACGAGTCATTTTCTGAAAGCATGGTGTGCTCTAGATTGGTGACACCAGTAGAAGATTGAAATTGTTTTTAAATTCTCTGTTTTTCTTGATTGATGGGTAGATGTGAGTAAATCCGTTGGCCAAAGAGAGTTCATGTCTAATTGACCCCAAGGTGAAGAATGAAGTTAGGATTGTGATCGTTAAAGGTTTAGGTCAGGGTAGACGCTTCTGCTGTATGTTAGGAGCAGATCCCATGTCCCATAATTCCCCTGGTCCACATCTCTCATCCTTATCCGGTTCTCTCTTTTTTTTTACAATCCTCCTTGTTTCAAACTCCATCGAACATTTGTCTAAGCGACCAGCTGACAGAGAACCATTAGAGCCAACGTCACGTCTATCCTAACCACGCCACTTCCTCCTCATCCCTCTGCATTCTCCTCGCTGGAGGTCTCAGTTGTTCAGTCTGTGGGGGTGAGGGCATCCCAGACACCTTTAACCCTTTAAGTGCCCAGGCTATCCATACGTCACACAGAGGAAAGCTGGCAGCAGGACATCAAGTCGCCCTCTTACCCTCCCTGTTCTCTACCGGCACACATTCAAACCCGCACACACACACACGCGCACACACACACACACACACGCTCTGATCCCCAAGTGTGACTTTAACGAACCTGGAGGCACAGGTATTTAACTCTCTTTCCTTTGCACGGCCTGGGAAAGTACAGCCGGAGGGAGGGGAAAAGGCGAGCATGCTGGGGTAGGGTGTGGCGGGTGGAATGATTCGTTTTACTGAAACGATATAGATTTATGAAATAACTGCAGTGCTGTGAGAAAGTCTTTCCACCCCTTTATTCCGTTTCACATTTTGCTTCAAAGAAGCCAGGCTCTCTTAGGGCGTCTTCACACCTGATAGACCGGTAGATTCGGTTCGATTGGAGATCAAGGTTGCAGCATTTGCTGCATTTTCAGCTGGTGCGGTTCTCTTTCACACTGCTCTGTGTCAAACAAACCATTTGAAGAACATGTTCACCCCCCTTGCTTGTAGTGATGTTGCACCAAAAACTACTGAAGGAAGCAACACAAAAACCTCCAAAGGCGAAACGAACTGTAAGCGAAAATGGAGTTAAGACAGATTTTAGCAGTTTTAGGATTTCCATTTTGTCTTTGGCAAAAACCATGAGCCGTTTCTCCGACTAGCATTAGACTCAAGCATTTGTTTTGGTTGTATTTACCCAGAATGCCCTGCACTAAAGTCCGATTCCTCCTGTCTCCGGTCCAACTCTGCAGTCACATGAGCATTTGCACCACGCCAAAGTTTGCTTCCACCAAACCGAGGCTGAAGTTTTCAGGTGGATCAGAGGCCGATTGCCTCCCTTCCCAAACTAACTGGACTTTCTACACAAACTAGAATTTGATTAAAGCGGACTAAACAGGGCTGTTGTGAACGCACCTTACAGAATTTTACTGCTCTCCTAAATAATATTTATTCAGATTTTTCAAAGGTTTTCAAAGTTTTTCTTTGGACTTTCAAAGCACTTTTTTTATTCATTTTCAGTTCAGTTTTTATTTGTGCTCCTTCTGTCCAAAAACCCTTCAAGCATAAAACAGTTCAACTCCAGGGTTAAACCAGTTGTTGCATCTAATAGCCAAGAAACTTTTTTAAATTTAAACTCTCAACACAAGGCAGGAGTGAGCAAGTTATTGCTCCTAAAGGCCAAATGAGTAACTCTGATTGCTGCTCAGGGCTTCATTATTGGCTGGATGTAATTGTTTGAAGTGTCTTTTGAAAACAATCCTTCAGCTGTAGGTAAAAGTATCCCGAGAATGTTGAATGAAATTCAACATTACTGATGACAAAACCTTTAATGTTTGAAAATCTGAAAGCTTAAATTGTTAATTCATGTTGTAATCCCTGAGAACAGCAACCTGTTTGTTCAATCAGATACATAAAGGATGGATCTCTCATCAGATCCTCTTCTGGGTCTGCGCTGGATTTTGTTTTCTTATTCCTTAAAGAAAAGACGTGATTGTAGAAACCATCGTAGTCCCATACTTTTTTTTTCCGTCTCCTTCTTTATTGTATATTTCAAAACATATATTTCTCTATAACAAAGGCAGCAGCAAAAAATCAAAAAGTCCAATGGAAATCTTTGAAAGACCTTGAGAAAGACTGAAGAAGTCTTGTTTAAAACCAGTTTTAAAAGGCTACAAGCTCATTGAGGTTCTTAGAAGCAGATTGTGAAGAAACAAGGGATGGTTTAAAACTATTTAATAGCTTTTTATGTTTAATAGATGCCTGTTAATGAAAATAGTAGTGGAGTGGAGGAGTCAGGTAGGGGAGCCTGTTTGTTCATCCTCCTCAAATGCATGAAGCGGCTGCATGAACACAAGCCTGTGATGCAGACGACGGTTCAGCGCAGCGAGTCGAGCTCAAGTTAAATGTAATATCTGGACTGATACAAACTGTCAAAGAGAGTTTACATCAATGTTAAAAGTTGTAAAAAAAAAAAAAAAGAAATGTCTGCAGAAGAGGCTCCAAGACACTTGACTGACGAAGTGACAGAAGTTAGAGTTGAAATAGTTTAATGTGCTCCTGCTGCGATGGGTTTCGTTTATCTTCATGCTGAGCCTATTCGATTTTTTTATTTTTTTTTTCTTGAGAAGAAAATCTTCAAAAATAATTTAGCAATAAAGAAGAAGTCAGAGTTTTGAAAATCCAGCCTTCTTAGTCTTGTATCTTAAAATTCATTCTTTGAAAAAGCCTCAAGAAAAATTGTTTCTCTTCCTGTTCACTTTGCGTTTAGTTCGAGTAATTGCATTTTTGTGACTAAATAATACGATTATTAACAGATAAACTTTGTCTGATAATAAAACTTCCAGTCCCTGTTTTTGTATTGTAAAACATAACTATATTTTCTAAATAATATAACATTTTCTAAGCATTTGGTATGGAAGTCTAGGGTTAAAATTATATCTTATAATTTCTGTGCTTCTCAAACTGGGAGTAAAAGAACAATATGATGATTAATTATAGTTATCTTCCTAACAGACCTACTGCTCAGATGTTGCTTTCTGTAGTTTTTAATCAGCGCTGCTTTGATAATTCAAACTTTCTTAAAATAAAAACAAAAAAATGACTTTGAAGTAAATGTAATTTCCCACTTTCTGGTCAATTTAATAGGGACTTTTTGATACTTCAAACTGGATGAAAGTTTGAGTAATTAGTAGAAAACAACCAAACAGCTGAATTTGTCAGTACGTTAGAATAGCAGTAGGCTAAAGCAGGAATGGACAGGTCAGGCTTTTTAAAGATCGGTCATCGGCCAGAAAACTGCAATTGGTGCACAAATATCAGGTTTCTTTCAGCCAGCTGTCCAGAAGTGCCCAGCAGCATATACTGGAATGGGTTATATAAACTATTTACACCAGACAAAACATCTCATGTCAAGGCCCAGGAGTACAGTCTGGTAAACATAAATTTCTGTAACAGTTTAAAACCTTGGTGAACCTGTTAGAAATATCACACAGAAGCTTTTATTTCATCTCAAATTTAGAAATCACAGGTTTCTAAAAACATCTGGAATCGTTTCAATGAAGTAAGGCTTTGATATTTAAAAAAAAAATAGTAGCGTCACATTATGACTTGCTGATTTACACTGCCCCCTGGCTGATAGGTTTGTTATAGCAATCTGAAAATCACTCCACTTCTCCACCCTGCACCGCATGACTTCCTGTTGACAAATCAACGTCTCCTCCTTCCCGTTATCTGTTGCTTTCCTCCCCCTCTCCCCTCTTCCTCTCACCTTCTTACTTGACGAACGAACTCTTCCTGTCCTTTATGCCCTCACACCGTAGTCGCTCCCTCTATAGATACTAACGCATCGCGGCTACCCTCCCCACCTTCGCCTCTTCTTGCCTCCCATCATCTGCTTCGGCGCTACACCTAAATACAGCGCTGCTCCAGCAACGCACAAAACACCTGCAGTTTCGCTCTGAAGCATGACGTCTTTATGAAACCAGATAACTCGACGAAGCATTGTACAGATGACCTCTTGTTGGCATGGAAACAGTACAATAGCTTCATATCTGTGTGCGTGTTATAAACACAGCTGTAACGCTTCTGGCATTCTCCAAACAAACGCTGAATGTTTCAAAGTCGTGTGACTTTTTTCCGTGCATGTGGCGACAATATTCTGTGAGAATGCCATTTTGTGCTATCAAAGGCATGTGTGTGTGGGACGACACACACACACACACACACACATACACATCCTGGTTTCTTGAGTGTCCACTCATGACTGATGAGTGAATGTTGCTCTGAGGTCAAGCAAACCTGGAAAGGATCTCCTTGTAAAAGAGTTTAAGAAGCAATCCTCTTTTCCTGTGCAGATGTTGTGCATGCTAAGGAACTTTGATGCGAATTCCTCTAGGTGCTGCATTTATAACGAGGACAATTTGTGCCGAGGGTCCGGCCTAATTGATCATTATGGCCTGATTAGATAGGAGTCAGTGAAAATGGATGGACCGATTGAGATTTCACTTCCAATTACAAAGCTAGTCCTTCACTGGCGCTTGCAGTGGCGCTAACGCAGAGGATGGCCACAGAAAGGAAGGATTTAGATTAAATTTATCTTTTGTTGTGTTTGTGGATTCTGGAAAATGCATCAGGTTTAAGCAATCCCGATAGAACAATTTTTTTTTTCCAAGAATAATGTTGCCATAGTTTAAGTTGGGAGTGTTACCTCAGCTTAAAACAAACATTGAAGCAAGAATGTAACTGTACAGTTTATGATAGCAGTAGAACAACAAAGTATGGATGTTTTTTTTTTTGTTTGTTTTTTTTTTGTTTCATGTGGCAGATTATCTGGTGACGTTGAATTTAGTATTTGGAAAACATTAGCTTAGGTATTTCAGCTGTCCATGTTCAGCTAAATATGATGCCATTGCTTACTGCTAAGCAGCATACTTCGGTCTCTTCAGCAAATAATCAGCTTAAAAAGCAATATTCTCTCAATAAATTAGAATGTCACAGAAAACTTAGTGATCTATCTTTTCTGAAAATGTATAATGATTGTGGTTTACAGCTAATGGAAAAGTCCATTCTCCAGTAAATTCTGTTATGACATTAGCCTGGCCATTGGCTTCCTATGCAGTTCCACTCGATTCTCATCTCTCGTCACCACTCCAGCTGGGATTTCTGCCGTTCACTTGGATTCCTCCGGTAGAATTTCAAACGAGCCAATCGGCGAACAGAAGGAGAAGTTGTGAACGATAACGTCGATTTTATGTGCTGTTTTCGAACTGTAGTCTGTCTGTAGTTTCAGCAGTGGCCGTTTCGACCACGCCTCCAAATATCGAATTAACGTCAACAGCCGGCTTGTTTACAGCACAGACAATTTCCAGTTAGCCTTATAGAGTCGAATTGGTGCATTACGTCACAGCTGCACGTTAGCAATTGGGCAAAACTTAAAACCTCAACAGAGTCCACGGGTCCAGGAAGTAATCGTTTCTCAACAGCTGAATGTCCAGACGATCTGTAGGAAGCAAAATGTACAACAAGGGGGCTGGTTTTTAAACAGGATAATATTACATAAAACCAGATACAAAGGATGTTAATACAGAAATGTTGGGAACCTAAGTATGTGCATGTGCTCAATAGAAATTCACTGTTTGGTGATGTTCTAATTTATTGAGTTGTACCCTGTGTGAGACATAAAGCAGTGACTATTGACTGCTGCTGTTCAACAATCTTCTGGTCTCATCAAGCAGAATGATCAGAATCATCAACCAGTTTTTCACAGGTTAATGTCATGGGCCTCGTATATATATGATCAGTGAAGATTGTGTTTTTCAGTAGTGTCACATAAGGATCTGTATAATTCAGACAAACAGGTTATATAAAACCCAGCGTAGCTACAAGGGAGACAGGAAATTGCATCCTGCAGTCTGAGGGGGATTATGGGAGAAAAAAAAAATTGGCTTCCATTAAAGGGTGGCTGAGGTATATTTGTAATCAGGTAGCCATCTTGCTGTCTTTCCTTCTTTGTCTGTCTCTCATATAGATGTATCTTTTCCTGTTTCTACCAAACCCCCCTCTTTCTTTCTCTCTGTCTTGTGTTGGTTTGTCTCTTTCAATGTGTGTTTGTGTGTCTCTCCCTCTGTGTGTGTTCTTTTCTCTCTCTCTCTCTCTGTCCTCCTTGTGCCTCTGTCTTCCTCTCTGTCTCTCTCACCCTGACTTTTGCTGTCACCGCCTTCGGTGAAACCCCGACAGGAGCAGCACCCGGTAAAGTTCCTCCTCTGTCCTCTCCCGCTCTGCTCCCCGCGCACAGTAACCCGATCACGTTGGCTACTCTCTCTTTCTTTCTTTGTTCTTTTAACCATTTTGTGCTCATTCTCGCCGTTTCGCTGCCACTCGCTGCCTTCCGTTGTCACTGTGAAAAACACACTCAAAAACACTTCCACGTGTTTATTTTTGTTTTGTTTTGTGTTTTTTACACGTATGTAATTTATTTATTTATTTTTAATCTTTGGGGACACCTGGAAAAATTCTAAGAAACACCAGGTTTTATTTAGAAAATGCTCAATTGGAAGTCTATGAAAAAATATGTGTACACTTGTTACCGTAGATATCTAGCCATACATGGTACAGAATTAATGAATATCTGTAATAGCAGAATAAATTATGAGAAAGATCTAACTTCAGGGAAGCATATACTTATTCTCAGCTGTTTAAAGAACAATGGGACAAAACACTTAGGATGGAAAACTGAATGTGTTGGTTTGAAATTGAGCTTACAGTTATTACAGACATGTGATGTGATCTGCCCATTTCCCTTATTTGGATAAAATTATGATGCATTTATGAGCAAAATTGGCTCCAAATTGACTAAATGTCCAGGGCATGAAAAGCTTAACATGTGTCGCAAACATTTGATCAGCATTTCAGAGCGCTTTATGCAGCTCGGTATCATTTTTGGCTAATTAGCATTCAGATGTTTGGTTTGAGAAACTCAAACTTGAGGGACCGCAAATTTGATTTGGCTTTTAAAAACTATTTTTATTTTTTCCCCCAAACATTACTTTAAGTAATTAAAATATCAAATCTATTTATGCTAAGACCTCAACAAAAAAAAAATGTATATACATACAGCTCTGGAAAAAATAAAGAGCCCCTTGCACTGAACCCCATTGAAAACCTCCTGGTTGTTCCACCAAATATTGATTTCTGAACTCTTCCTTAGTTAAAACATTAGTATTGTTGTTTCTAAATGAATTAATGGAATTGTTTAGGTCTGAGATCACTGCGTCTTTTTTTGTTATTTTGAGCATTTTTCATTTTCTGCAAATAAATAATACATTTTTGCTTGGAATTTCAGAGACATGTTGTCAGTAGTTCATAGAATAAAAGAACAATGTTCATTTCACTCAATCATATACTGATAAAATGTAAAGTCAGAGAACTGAGCATTTTGCAGTGGTCTCTTACTTTTTTCCAGAGCTGTATGTATATAAGTTGTAGTGTACGCACACAAGAATGTGAGGGAGCGTTAGAACAAGGATGCAGCCATTTCTGACACCTTTGACCTTCCTGGCTTTACGCTAACACTCTAAAGCTGCTTTCATAGAGAGACCTCCATGCTGCTCAGATTTAAATGAGGAACGCCTATTGATTGTCGTCCGAGTCGCTCGTTGGCGGACACACAAACACCCACACGGAGACACTTAAAAGCTGCCAAGACTCCGACTCAATCAATCAGCGCTAAATTGAGCTGTCGTTAATTTTCTGTCGCAGGAACGGAGTTCATAGTTTAAGAGGGAGCCGTGATAGATCGCCCATCTTTAAGCCCAGACTTGGCAGGTGTCCATGTCCCTCTACTTACTTTTTTTTTTTTCAGAATGACCCGTCCCCTTACTGTAAAAATTAAGTGTTTTATTTATTACCTTAATACCTTCTTCTTCTTTTTTTACCCCCTTTCAGGAAATTGGCTAATACGTGAAGCGTTAACGTTGTCGGCTTAACTTTTAATAAGTTATTTCCGCTCCTTTTTGCGACCTGTTTATTTGCTTTTCTTCATGGGATAAGGTTTTGTGTTCATCACCGGTCCAAATGTTCTCGCATAGCCTCCATTTCCAGACGTTTATTTTAGCCTTTTTTTTTTCCACAGAAGCGCATTGATAAGTGGGATTTCTGAAATCTTAGTGGAGAAAACAAAAAAAAGTCACTGGAAGCTATGTGAAGAAAAAACCTGTTGACATACGTCTCTGTGGAGATAATCGTAGGATTATGCTTAAGTAATCCTAGTGGTGCGACATTCGCAGGGCCGACTTCACATTTTCACATCCAGAAATGTTCACTTCTTTCGAAGAGTCGAACAGCGTGCCACCGAAAAAGAAAGAAAGAGGTTTGGCCGGGCACTCTGCCGGGGAGTTGCCTGTCGCTGTGCAATGAGTGATTGCGTACTTTACGGTGACGAAAACCATATTAAACAATGATGATGATGATGATGATGATGGTGCTTCTTGATGTCCATGAAACCAAGAGGTCAGACAAACGTAATGTGTTCTCTCCCCACTGGTTTCATGTTAGACTTGTTTATTTTTCTGCAAAAAAATAAAACAACACAAAAACAGCAGTGATTGCCCACACAAATTAAATGTGTCATCATGTGTTGTATTTTAAATGAAAATAAAGAGTGTGGTGAGAGCCCTTTGTGACTCATCTGTGTAATGAAGCCTCTGTTTTGCCGTCTAACGTTTCAGTTTTGCTGTTTTTGTTCCATGCTCAAACACTAGGGGGAGCAGCAAAGGCAAAGACATCAGTACAATCAAATCTCTGCGTGTGCTGAGGGTGCTGCGTCCCCTGAAGACCATCAAACGCCTCCCCAAGTTAAAGGTAGAGTTTAAAAAGCTGCACTGATTTGTCTTATTTCAGGATCTTTGCATGTGAAGTTGTTTGATTCTTATCTTGTTCAAAAAGTCCTAAAAGCCCCAAATAAGTAGCATCGATTGTTTAAAAGGAAAGTATTCTTTGATTTCCAGGCACAGAGTGCGATTTTATAGCACAATCAAGTAACTGCGTTGACTTCAGTTGTTCTAAAATTGCTACATATGTCAAATAGGACTTAAATGAAATTTGACTTTGTAATTTAACACCTCTAATTGGGCCTCTGTCTCTTTAAGAAACTTTTGTTCTTTCTGAAGCTCCACCTTCAGGAAGTCATCACAACATGGCTCCTCTATTAACCCTTTAATAACGTTTTTACCAGCATTTCGCTGAGAATTAGCTCCTATAATGAGCTCGGCAGATTCACCAGGTGTTTGCTAATTGCTGCTGGCTAGTCTGGAGGAGCTGACTAGAGGAGGGCTGCTCTGTAAGGGGGAAGCTCAAAAACTGCAGCTCCGAGGATGAGCAAGGCGGGGCTAGGGCCAACTAAGCGTTTTACACAGCTGAATGGTTGCCATGGGAGATTACATGATGTAGTGCTCAAAAAAGTCAGTTTTACATAATACTGATCCTTTAACATGCATGAAATCATAGGATTTTTTTTTATCTTCTACTAACTCATTTTCAAAAAGAATTGTGTAAAATTGCATGTCAACAGACATGACCACTTGCTTTATAATTTTTTTTTTTTAGTTTTTACTTTTGTCTGTTAGAAATATAAATAAAGCAATTCTACATTAGTCCAGGCCACTAGATTCTGACTTTTGTGATTTATTTTTTATTTTTCTATTGTTATTATTTATTTTTCTTCATCTAAAACGTTCTCCTGTGTGCTTTAAAACGTACCAGCAGGATGAGGGGGAATTTGGTTTTAATTTAGTTTTCATTAATCTGCAACTTTAGTAACTCCCCCACACGGCAACCCAATGTTGGACACCAAAGGAGAAAAAAAAACTCCTTGCTGTCATTTCATGCTGCTACAGCATCTGTGCAGAAAGTGAGCTCTTGCAAACACAGCAGAGACGACTGCCAGGTCAGACATGAGCTCTGTGCAGAAGAAGGCATGGATCCGATGTACATTAGAGGGTGGCAGCCTGCACATTATTCAGGAAGGAAAAAGATTAAACCAAACAATATCTGAATGAAAACGTTAAATCTGACAGAGTCATGAAATTTGCTGTAATTTGTGTGTCGCCGTCGTCCAGGAGGAGATTGAATCGGCGACTCAATTCAATCTGCTGGATTTCTTTAGATGGAAAATGTTTTAAACTAATTTGAATAATTAATTCAACTGATAACTGGGATCAGTTAGTGCACATGTGGTTGAATTTGTAAATTCCTCGAGAAAAAAATGGAGCTCCATAGATAAACTGAATTGGATTGAATACTCAGTGGATAGTTTTCAGATACGTCTTTAAATATTAGAGTTGTACAGATCATGAATTTATGTTGCCAATAACGATTTCATTTGATTTCAGATTCTTCCTAATTCCTATAAATAATGATTAAATCCTTTTTTTCCACTTTTTTTCTGATCAAAAGATTTCAATGTTTATTTTTAAGTAAAACAATTAATTTCCTCTAAAAACAGCTCAATTTTTCAGAGTTGTTTCTGTTTGCAGAAAATATATTAAAAATATTTTCTGAGTGAAAATATGCAAATATGCTAAAATATTTAATGTTATGGGACATTATTTAAAATGTAAATGAATAATAGAACTACATCATATATCCACACCCCACAAAATTTAATGGGCATTATATTAATATTTCTTCTTCTTCTTCTTCTTCTTCTTCTTCTTCTTCTCATTATTATTATTATTATTATTATTATTATTATTATTAATATTAATATTAATAATAATAACTAGATAAATAAATACACACACAAAATGGGGGTAAGGTTTGAGAGATTAGTCCTCCATATGTTTTGTCAAGAGAATAAGAGTTTTTATTATTACATTTAATATTATTACTACCTCTGTAACGTCACAACTTCTTCTTCTTCTTGTTGTGTGACCTTGCAGGCAGTGTTTGACTGCGTGGTGAACTCCCTGAAGAATGTGTTGAACATTTTGATCGTCTACATGCTCTTCATGTTCATCTTCGCCGTTGTGGCTGTGCAGCTGTTCAAGGGTCGCTTCTTCTACTGCACAGACGAATCCAAGGAGTTTGCACGGGACTGCAGGTGGGTCAGGAAACAACAAATCGAGTATCAGAGCACTTCGTTTTTGACCCTGTTGCTCGTCTTCCTGTAAAGTTACAACAAACTGAGTCTTTTGGTTGTCATTTTCCGATTAGTGGACTTGTTCTACTGTTGTAGACATTTGAAGGAATTATAAAAAAGAAACCGTGTATTACCAGTTAAGGTTTAGTTGTTTGTGTGCTGCCACCTAGTGGCATTCACGTGGTATTTCTGGGTCGTCCTTTTGATTAAAACCATCCAAATATTTGCTGGAATTTGTTGTTTTTTGCAGGGGCGAATATTTAGTCTATGAAAAAGACGAGGTGAAAGCCGAGAAGCGGGAATGGAAGAAGTACGATTTTCACTACGACAACGTGGCTTGGGCCTTGCTCACCCTCTTCACCGTCTCCACCGGAGAGGGGTGGCCACAGTGAGTGGACAATAAAAAAACCTTTAAAACTGTTTATGACGAAGCTGATTGGACTCAGGATAGTGTTCAAAAAGCAGCACGGAGGCTATTTACTTTTTTTTCCTTCAAGAATAATAAAATATATGTTGCTTTTGCTTACTGTGTTTTTCTCTGAATAAGAATAAAGCTGTATTCTTTTTATACACATATTGTTATGCTTTTTAAGATAAATAATCACTATTTTGCATCAGCTAATATAATTAGATGATTTAATGATAAATATTGTATCAGTTCTAATAAATAAGTTGTGGTGCAGTGACACAACTTAAGTATAGACAAATTCTCAGTAATGTATAAATAAATGATTGAAGTGAAACTATTTTCTCTATAAAGTGCCTTGAGAAGACATTTGTTGTTGGCGCTACACAATCAAACTGAAGTGAATAAGGAAGTTTGATAAGCATCTCGGAGTCATTCGCACAAAACGCGTCTCCACTTTTTAGTCGTGATTGAGCCTCTGGTGTAAAAACAAAACCAGCTGAACCCGAGAGTGCTTTTATTTTGAAAAGAAGAGAGCGTTTTTAGAGGCTGGGGTCCAAAAAGTTGACCTCGAGGAGCAAAAATCATAAATGTTTGGGTTAAACAAAACGTGATCCGATTGCTGGGTGTTACTATTGCAAATAGCATGTGTTTTTTTTTTTAAATCAGTTTCTCACCTTGTTATGTAATATCAAAAAAAAATGTTCTAGCTAATATTTTTGACTCCTCCTCTTGCAGAGTGCTAAAGCACTCAGTGGACTCTACTTATGAGGATCAGGGCCCAAGCCCGGGATACAGGATGGAAACGTCCATCTTTTACGTGGTGTACTTCGTTGTCTTCCCTTTCTTCTTTGTCAACATCTTCGTGGCTCTCATCATCATCACCTTCCAGGAGCAAGGGGACAAGATGATGGAGGACTACAGCTTAGAAAAGAACGAAGTGAGGGAACGATCTGGAAGCTTTTCTACACTTATCGGACGTATTTGTTCTGATGTTCTGTTATTTTTTTTAATCTTTCTTCAGAGAGCCTGTATAGATTTTGCCATTAACGCCAAGCCTCTGACTCGCCACATGCCAAAGAACAAACTGAGCTTCCAGTATCGCATGTGGCATTTCGTAGTGTCGCCTCCCTTCGAGTACAGCATCATGGCTCTGATTGCACTCAACACGATCGTTCTCATGATGAAGGTATGGAAACGGAAAAGGTTACGCCGTCTCATCCTCGAGGAGCACAAAACTTTATCATGAATCTCTCCGGTTCTTTTTCTGTCTTTCTTTGTTTTGTGTGTGTGTGTGTGTGTGTGTGTGTGTGTGTGTGTCGACAGTATCACAGTGATGAACCAGACAAAGTTCCTGTGGCATACGATAATGCGCTGAAGTACCTGAACATTGTGTTCACCACCTTCTTCTTCATGGAATCTATCCTGAAAATCATTGCTTTTGGTCCCTTGGTAAGCCCTATCACACTCACTCACACTCACACACATGTTTGTGTTGCTATCTTTGTGGGGACTTTCCATTGACTTCCATTCATTTCTACAGCCTAAACCTTACCCTTATCCTAACCCTATCCATTACATACCTAACCCTAACCCCAACCAAAACTCAATTCACACCTTAGTCCTAAATCTGACCCCTGACCGAAAAACAGCGTTTCCCCTTGAGGGGACCAGGCTTTGGTTCCCACAAGGAGCAATGGGTCCCCACAGTGTAGTATGTGTCAGGAAAATGGTCCCCACAAGATATTACAAACAAACGCACACACATATGCACACTGTTCATTTATCTAGGGTGAACCTCTCTATGCATCCCTGTGTTTCAGACCATTTTTCCTTCATAAAGCGGGATATTTTAGAAGACAAACCTAGAGATGCTTTTTTCCTGTTGCCGTTTAACTTGTCCCATCGTTGTGGACGCCTTCCCACTTTTCTGTCTTTCAGAATTACTTCAGAGACGCCTGGAACGTGTTTGATTTTGTCTCAGTCATTGGGAGCATTACTGACATATTGGTAACAGAGATTTGGGTAAGTATTGTGGCTTGATTGTCCAATAGCACACTTATAGATGTGAAGGTAAAAGCTGAAGTGTTTCTAAAAGAAACATAAACAAACAAAAAAAGCACGCACGGAAAGCAGATTAAAATACCCACCGGTTCCAAGTGCAGAATAACTGCTTAAAATTTTTTGCAAATCTTTGTATGTGTTGCTACCAAAAACTAGCTCATTTCTATGATGTACAATGTGTAGTGTGTTAAACAGTAGTTAAAAAAAAGAAAACGCCAAGTTCCAAACAGATTTTCACCTAGAAATTAGTATGTAGAAAAAAGAAAAAAAAGCTAGCTGTGTCTTCAGGATATCACTGTGAGATCCATTGGAGCGATTTGTTTACATTCCTGCAAAAGTTAGTCTAGGTATAATGTTTATTTTTATGTGTTGCTCAATCTCTAATCATTTTTGTTACAGTGTATTGATTAGCCTGTGATGTGGAATCAGAGAGAAGCTGAATGTATTTTATTACAACCTAACTGTTGTTGCTTTTCAGTGCTTCTTTTTATACTGGCACCTATAATGATGCTGTCTTCCTCTTCTATCTCTTTACATGCTTTCTTTAACCCTATCTACTCTGTTGGCACCCTTCGCCTCCTCTACTCCTTCCTGTTCTGATATAATCCATCCAATCAAAATGCACTATGAAATCCTTCATCGTGTTATCCATCCATGCTGCACCATGCCATGTGGTGGTGGTGCTGTGATGATGATGATGGTGATGGTGTGTGTTTGGCCCTCCCCGCCCCCACCCACCGCCCACTTTGGCCCCGCCCAAAACCAACCACCACCTCCTTCTTCTGAAAATAAATAAATAAATCTGTTTAATCCAATCATGATTTACCTCAACTTAACCAAAAACAACACCAAAAAACTAAAACTAAAACCTCCTCACCATTCATCTGTCTACATCTTCGCACATGTAGAATCTGGTTGGTTTGTAATTTATTTTTCAAAGCTTCCTGCTGCACTGTCATTGGTCATGCGGTTCCCTGATTAATTTCTAACCCTCAGCCACCCTGTCTCTCATGTGTTGACCCTTGACCCCCACAGCATGTGCTTTTTGGATAAGTCCTTTTAACTCTCTCTCAAACTGTCGAGTTGCTAATGCAAATTTTAAACTATAGACTTTATGGGGGCAGGGGAAAGTGTGTCAACGGTAAATTATATCACATTAGAAATCTGAGAAACTTTTAGCCCAATATGACCAAAATGGATGACCGGAAATAAAAACTGTAGTTTGAAGGTTTCAGCATCTGAAAAATTACTACAGTAGGGGCCGAACGACAGCCAAATTCTTAAAATAGCTATTCCAGTGAATGTACAGTGGTGACATTTTCTTTATTTTGTCAGTTACTTTTTTGTGAATTTGATAATTTTTTGTCTTCATCCATGACTAAATACATACTAAATAATAATAAGGCCATCTGTTTAACTGGCTATAGATTAAGTTCTTAAATTATTAAAATATTTGATGTCTGCCAGGCAGAAAAAGGCTAAAAGATGGTAGCATAATGAACCTTTAACCCCCAAATTTGTGAACCCTGGAGCCGAGGCACACAGCTGCAGTAACAGTGTAATATCAAAAATACTAAGGGCCATTTTTGGTGCTAACTTGCACCCAGAGGAAATTGGCCCCAGCAAAAAGTTCCTAAAGTGGGATCATGCCTTAAAATGTACCCAGCAAGACCACTTAAAAAAAGAGTGTGGTCTAATTGGTTTAATTTAGTGATTAAAACCCTTTTTATGTTTTAAATTTGAACGAGTGATTTTCAGTATACTGGGGGATCTCAGTAGCATTTGCACAGATATTCAATAAATTAGAATATTATCGAAAGGTCAGTTTATTTCAGGAAACTTATCACTAATTACTTCACCCATTACTGCCCACTAAAGCCTGTTGATGCATTTTATATACATCTCCAGGATTGTACTGAAAATATTTTTGCTGCTATCTAGTAGTTGAAGCTACGCTAAATTACACATTATTTTGTAAATACGTATAGTTAATGGTGTTTTTTTTTCAACAGTAACACACTTAAGAAATTATAATATTATTGGAAAGTTCATTTATTTCTGTAAGTCTCACTAAGTGAAACACATCATATAGATAAATGGATGTTCGAAAGCTCTTATTTCTGTTACTTATGATTTTCCGCTTAAAGTTAATCCAAACATGGCATCTAAAGTTATAATATTACTGTAGAGCAACAAAAAAATCCAATTTTTTTCATACAGAAATGTAGCCTTAATGAAAAATACGTTGATTAACAGCTGCATGAAGGTTGACCGTTTACAAAAGTAAGTTTTAATCTGACCAGTGAGCCTCATCAGAACGCATATTCTAATTTATTGAATGTGACCTTAACTAACAAAGCCTACCAGGGAAAGCTCATCTTGTAGAATATATAAGCTTTGACGGAGTGCAGCTACTGGCGCATGTTTTAAAGTTTCCAGTGGGCTCAGCCTTGCTGGCCCTCTCTGGTCTGCATGTGGGCCAACTATCATTAAGTATGCTGCCATGCCAGGTCATGCTTACACTGAGGTTGCATGCTAATCCCTCCATCTTCCCCTCCTTCTTCTCCCCTCTCATGCTGGTTTCACAGCCTTGTCTGTCAACCACCAAAATGTGAAAAACCTGACCTGAAAGTTTGGAGTGAACTGCTTGTGGCATCTTTATATTGCCAATTAGCACAATGCTAGGACAGCTAGCAGGATTAGCACAGTTTACAGTTAGCATTTCTGATATCATATCTGTGTTGTAAAGTAGCTGTGAGATTTTTAAAAGTGCAAATATTTCCTAATGTAGCACTTTCCATCTTAAAAATTGATTCATTGGTAAAGAGAAATGTTTCTGTTCTACATTTAGAACAGAAACTTATAGCTTCTTGCTATCTGCTAAGTGCTGACATGTAACATTTTGTTGTTGCTGTTAAAGCCCACATAAAAAACCACATAGGTTCCTTTGTAGAAGCTTCTTTGTAATTCCTCTAACAACATTTTATTAACCAGAATAATACAGAAATAGCTGAAAGAGTCTTCTTCACTCAGTGACCACTTCCACACAGAAGCATGGTGCATTTTCTGATGTGTAGGTTTTATATTGTCTGGATCAACAATCAAGTGGGTTCTTTTCACCTCTCTAGTGTTTTTTTTTTCTTAAATTTGTTTCTGTATAATAAATAACCATAACAATTATTACAGTAGCATAAATATGTTTAGAGCATTAAAAAAATCTTTCTAAACAGAATTATGAAGTGACATAATTGGTGTCACAGGCAACCCAAACTCCAGGTCTTTGCTTTAAAAAGTCTATATTTGCCCTGTGTGGGTGATTGTGTGTGTGTGTGTGTGTGTGTACATGCATGTGGTTGACAGGCAAAGTTCTCCAGTCTGTATGTAGCCTGCTTGCATCAGCGATCAGTGCATTTGATAATAAAAAAAATGCTGTATAAGATTGGATGATGACCATAAAATTCTTTGAATTAGAAATCACTTTCTTTTCTTTCTCACTTTTTATTAATTAATTTATTTTTTGTTCTCCCCTCTCTATCATTTTCACTTATATCTCAGTACCAATATATTTGAGGTTCGATGAGTTTTATTAGTTTTTGATTTCTCCTCCTTGGTCTTCTCTTTCCTCCACTGTTTATTTTGTCTTTTCTTTTTGGTTGTTGTTGTTGTTAAGTTCTTTCATTATTGTAGCGGATGTTTGTGAAGATGCTGTCGCTTTGTGATGCTGACAACATGCCATGTTTGTGCTGCAGGACAATGCCATCAACTTGAGCTTCCTGAGGCTTTTCAGGGCAGCTCGCCTCATTAAGCTCCTGAGACAGGGGGAAACCATCCGGATCTTACTGTGGACGTTTGTCCAGTCCTTCAAGGTATTTAAGAATTAAAAAAAGAAAAAAGAAAAAAAAAAAGATTTGAAAAGATGAAACTAACAAATATCCCTCATTCCTGCTGTGGTAGGCTCTGCCGTATGTGTGTCTGCTCATAGCCATGCTCTTCTTCATCTACGCCATTATTGGCATGCAGGTAAGTTCTGCTGACAGGCATATACTTTTTTTTTTCCCCCCCAATATATTAAGAAAAACTCTTTACCTGCTATTGAGGAAGCTTCAAAAGTCCAATTTTTTATTTTGTCTTCTAAGAGGTCTTCAATCAGAATGTGGGAATCCATTAGTAAGGACATATTGGACTTAAATGTGCTATATATTCCAAAATGTATTCATGCATAAAGTATTATGTACATTGTTATTATGTCCAGTAAATCTGTGATAACCTGCGAAACCCCAAATCGTCTTTTGGGTAATGTCAGATAATTAATACACATCAGTTTGTGACTTTTGGCTTGTATTAACCTTCTCATTTCTTGCTAGCAAAGCACAAAAATTACCCAAGAAGTTATAGTTTTTCTTTGTGTAATTCACATGTTGTCCTAATGCCTTTGTCATTTCATAGCAAAAATAACAACTTTAGGTTCAAGAAAACCCCTTTGTCAGGGTCTGAATGCCATCTGGTGTAGTTGTTTCTTATATATTTTAGGATGACACAGCCTTTTTCCTGGAAACCTGTTAGCAACAAACCATGCTTGTCCAGTCTTCTCTAATTTTAAGACCATTAAATTAAAAATGTAACACGGAAAGAGTCAAAGGTATCGCAACATTGCAATATTTGACTTTGAGGTGAATTTGGTGGAAAGAATGGGCATTAATCTTCTTTCCTTTTTTTTAACTTGTAATAATCTCTGAAGAATGATGTACTTCAAATGGTTTGGAAGTTGTCTCATAACAATTTACAGGTTAATAGCTATTAATAGCTATCATATTGTTTGCACTGATGTATTTTTGGTTTTTTTGGCTTTGTATTTTTGCACACCTGCATGAAGACAACCACACCGCTGAATCTCCTGATTTCCATTTGCTCATGTTTGCTGAAGCTCAAATAATCAAACTTATTTAATTAGCAGCTCCCGTTGGTACTTTCTCCTGTGGAAACAGCAAGTGCAGGAACATGAAGTGTCTGTTAATGTGGCACTAAAAGACATTATTGTTTTCTTTTCCTATTGCGTTTTTGTTTAGTTGTTTGGAAACATAGCTCTAGATGAGGACGAAGACAGTGCCATCGACGAGCATAACAACTTCAGGACATTCATTATGGCCCTAATGCTGCTGTTCAGGTGAGACGTTTCTGTTTGCTGTTTGTTTGTCTTGATGGGTTGATAAGTAATATAAAATGTGCTATAGTGATATTACAAGGACATCTCAATAAATTAGAAGATCATGTCTTACAGTTGTTGTTTTTTCGTTTATCTTATTAAATATTCCAATTTCCCAAGAAACTGAGTTTTGGGTTTTGGTTAGAGGGTTCGTCATAATCATCAATTCTGCCCAAAAATAAATAAATTCTCAAATTGAATTATTGAATTATTGAAATGAGTTGACATTCCAGTGATATTTGATTTATTGAGATGTGCTCCATAAAATATTAGCATATTGTAAAAGTGGTGTCTTTCCGTTTCTGTGCAGGAGTGCTACGGGTGAGGCGTGGCATGAAATCATGCTGGCATGCCTGGGAGAGAAGAAATGCGACCCGGAGTCAGGAAATACCGGGAAGGAGTGTGGCAGCACCTTCGCCTACACCTACTTTGTCTCCTTTATTTTCCTCTGCTCCTTCCTGGTGAGGAATTGTTGGACTGATTGTTAAACCGAACCCGTCAAAACCTCACACGGACATTTCCTTCTTCCTCTCTCCCAGATGCTGAATCTCTTCGTGGCCGTCATCATGGACAACTTCGAGTACCTCACCAGAGACTCGTCCATCCTGGGGCCGCACCACTTGGACGAATACGTAAGGATATGGGCCGAGTACGACCCAGCCGCCTGGTGAGTGGCCACCAATCTTTCTCACGCAGTCACACTCCACTGTTCTTTATCTGCTGCACCGATATTTGTCTGCTCTCCTCACCGCTGACGTTTTCCTCCCATCCCAAAAATGGGACAAAGAGCTCGTAGCAGACGTGGGATGATGAAACGCCGTGTCGACGCAGTCTGAGCAAACGTGTTTTCCAGGCTAAACAATTACTTTTTTTTTTTAGCTTCTCTGATCTCTTTATTTTTAATGTAATGTTGTATGCCAATGACATAAATGTTACCCACCCCTTTTTGCCTTTTCCTTATTATGTGTTTGTGATTTTTTTTTTCAGTGAGTAAGAGCTCTTTTCTTCTCTATATTTTGTTATTCCTCTTTTTTTTGTCCACTTCTTCTTTTTTTGTTTCTGTTGTTTTTTTGTTTTTTTTTTGTTTGGATTTTGTATGCTCCCTCACCTAACTCCCCTCCTTGTATTTTTCTTGCAGCGGGCGCATACATTATAAGGATATGTACAGTTTATTGCGAGTTATCTCCCCTCCTCTGGGCCTTGGCAAGAAATGCCCACATAGGGTGGCCTGCAAGGTTTGGACCAAACCCATAAAGCACAAACTTAAACGCAACCTGCTCGCCTTTTAAGAAACTGGAATGAATGTTGCTCTTTATCACTTTTAAGACGAGTTCTTTCGTAGTTTGTTTATTTTCTCTCTCTCTCTTTTTTTTATTATTTCCATTGGTTTGACTTTTCTGTTCGGGTTTGCATTTTCCAGTTGTTTTGAATCCATTTCACCTCTGAATCATGAATCTTTTTTTGTTGTTGTTTTGGGAGGGGGTCTGTTGTTTATGCATTCTGCCATGATGATGAGAATGTTTGGGACAATGCAGAAATGCACACACACTCTCTTGCATACGATCACAAACACACTGATAATGGTGTGTGAAGCATGAAGTGGTACACTGCACTTGCTAATGTCTTTTGATTGAACACTGGGGGAGGGAAAAGTGACACTTATTGTCCTCATTTTCATTTTTTTTTTATTTGTTAGCAGTAGATTTTAGATTTCAGCCAGTCAGTGTCTTTTCTTTCTGCTTGCTGTCTAATTTTTGCCTGGGCAGAAAATGGTTGAGCAATGTGCATTGATCTGTTTGACTCGGGGAGTGGGTTAGACAGGATTCTCATAGAGGCACATGCAGAGAAGATTTGGTCTTGGTATTCTGACCTTTGAACTAAGGCTACCTTATGGTTTTCTAGATCTCCCAGATTGTTCAAATGTCACTTCATTTAACTTAATTTTGATCATTTCAGCATGAAAACAATCATAATTATGTAAATTTGAGAAGTTTCTGCATCTCCACCAGGAGTTTCAGTATTTGCTGTCAAACAGAAAACAGGCGAGCGGGTGTTCTGTTACGATTGTGCCGTTTTGCATATTTGGTGAGCGACTGAAGAAATCATTCACACAAATTTCTGCCGTTTTCTTAGCTCGTCATTAAGACGACCGAAGTCATCTTAATGAAGAGCAGTTCAATTATTTTAAAGAAATATAAACCCAGTCAGCCGCTGCTGGTTAATTTATCCAATCATCACTAAGCAGAATGCCTGGACAAATACATTTTGCACGAAAGAACTTAGATTCCGAGCAAACTGCGTGTGCAGTTTGGAGGTGTATGTGCCAAAAGTATAACATGAGGCTAATTGGAGCACTGTTGGCCCTACATGAGCATCACTTGTCTTATTGGGATGAGGCCGCCATGATGGCCGCCACTCCTTCGAATTCTGATCATACCTGTCAAGTTTTGGACTTGAGAATATGGGAAATCGTTATCTGTGCCCTGCTGCCATTGGAAGGGGAGGGTTCAGACGAAACTATCTTCTACTTTAATATAAATACATAAACAAACCTTTATGTAACCTTTCGTAATTAAATGTTGAGTAATTATGCTCAACATTTAATTACGTTTTGCATAAACATTAGCCCATACCTTGCAGAAATCTAAGGATATTATAATGTTTCCAATCTCTGAAGTCTATTTCTTGAAATGCAAGATCAATCTACACAAGTAGAAGTAGCAATAATTTTTTGCTCAAGCTAAACAAAAAAAATACAGTTCAGTAAAAGTAAATGCAACCAGTACTACCCACTTTTGAACATAGATAACAAAATGAGCAGCCTATTCATGTGAACAAGCTTAACATGATGTCATGGCATCAGCTGGTCGTCATGTAGCTCACATTATGTCTATCCAGCAGCATTACTCAACTCACTCTGTTAGCTTGGGGTAAAAAAAAACTGCAACGGTTTTGCCTTTTGCTGATTGGCTGCCATGATTTGAACACTCACCTGCACAGCAGCAGTATGTCTCTGTCGGTGTATGTTGCGTTTAAAGGCGGCTCGGAAAAACACGTTGCGACATGTTAACAATGCATTAAGCCGTTGTTACGGCTGAAAAAGTTCCGGTTGGGGAGCGGGGTTGTATGAAACAGAAAATTTACGGGAAAATGCTTATATGGTAGCACAACGGGACAGAGGAGTAAAATACGGAGGTTTCCCAGACAAAAAAGGAGCCTTGACAGGTATGTCCTTGATGACTGAGCCAAGCTGGCACCGCCTTATAGATCAACTTCACCTGCTGCTACCAGGCTCTTCTGCATAACAGCCATGACTCCGATAATAAGCTGCCGCCATGACCTCACCACAGATGTTTGGCGCATGCTCAAAAGCTCTTACAGTAACAGTGCAGCTTGAGAAACGGTGAGAGCTATTGTATTTTTCGCCCACCCCACAGGACTTCCTTTAAGACTTTGTACAGACTCTACATTTTCCTGTTGATTGTCTTTTTTTCATGGTGCCATCTTGTCTTTTTTTCATGGTGCCATCTTAGTCCATCTATGGTTGGCCTTAAGAACGCGCGATATGGGGCTCCACATTTTCATAGTGATGGATCTTCAAAGTCATGTTGCCGTTACCGTACTGATTACACTCACAAATAGCAATGGTTTATATCCACTAACACTGGAATAACAAGACCAAACCTGATCTGTTTGTATTGCTGGTTACAGAGGCCAGAAGGAAAAGGGGCCAGGGTGTGTGTGTTACTTAGGGGAAGGATTCCAGAGGTTTTGTGTCCACCAGTAATCTCTCAGTAACAATCTGAGCTGACAGATGTTTTTGGAAAGAATTACATATCCTGTGGCTCGTAAAGCAATTATCCAATCTCCAATGTCAAAAAAAAAAAGAAACACCAGCTTGTTTTGTGACCAGCAAAGGAAGAGCTTGAAGTTTTCAGCAATGATTTTGTATGAATAGCAGGGAATCTCCAAGGGATATCATTGGATTTCTCTTTTTTTAATCAAGTCTACATCCGGGTTTTGAAGCCCTTCAGAGTTCTGTGAAGGAGCTTCTTGAACATCTGGAAGTGCAGCTGCGTTCGGAGACTCCTGGTGGACGCGCAGCCTCAACACCAGACTGCATTGACTTGTCACAGTGACTCACTTCGGTTTCTGCAGTGGCGCTTTTCTTTGCCTGCTAGAAGCCCCGCTGTCAGTTCTATCCGAGCGGCGAAAGTGGGTTAAGACCATAAGAAACCGAGCAATCATTCCCTTTTCACCTCGTATAGAACGGTAACGCAACACTAACTAACTTAACATCAACTACACCTCCTCTTGAAACCCCTCCCTGCCTAATCCTGTCTTTCTTTCCACCTTCCTTTTCCTCCCTCCACAATTCTATGAAAATACCAGACTGTAAAGGGCACATAAAACACCCCCTTGTTCTCTATCGTTTTCTTTCTATCTCTTTTCTCTCGCCACAGCAAACACATTTCCACAGTGACCAAAACAATAACCTCTGTGTATTTGTCCCCCCTCCCTTCCCCCCACCCTTCCTTTCCTTTGTCGGTTTCGTTTTTTTTCCTCCTCATGTTTCCACCCCCTTAACACACCTCTGTGTGTCTCCCCTTAATACTCCCCCATTCCTTCCCTTGGTTCTGATGTTTTTTTTTCTTTCATGTTCACGTCGTTTGTCTTCGTTTCGTGTGTCGTGTGTCAATGTACGCGTGTTGAATGCATGTGCCCATGTGGCATCTGCGTCTGTGTGTGTGTGTGTTTGTGTGTGTGTTTTGTGGCCACTCCAGCGGCCGGATCAGTTACACAGACATGTATCAGATGCTAAGACACATGTGTCCGCCGCTAGGCCTCGGGAAGAGGTGTCCCGCCCGGGTCGCCTATAAGGTAGACTCGCCCCCCACCTTATCCCTCCACCCTCCTCAGCCACCTCAACCCTCTTTATTCCCCTTTCCTTCCCCTCATTCCTTTCTTTCCGCCTTTTTCTCTCCCCCCCAAACCCATTTCTCTCCTCACACCGCCCCATCGCTGGGGAGATCCTTTCTTTTACCAGCTGAAACATTGCTGTTCCTGTCCTCCTCCACCTCCTGATCACCCTCTCCCCCCCTCCACTTCTTCACCCCTCTCACCTCCTCCCAGTGGTGTTCTCTTCATTGTTTGTTGGTGGTTGTGGTGGTGGTGGTGGTGGTGAGCGCTGTCCTCTCTTCTCTCTCTCCGACCGCGGGGATGGAGGGATGGGCTTTTGTTGTGCAGTCAAGTGAAGTGATAGTGGAGTGGTAGTGAGTCCTCTCTTTTATTTGCTCCAGTCATGCCGCAGAAGTAAGGGAATGCAGGAGGAGTTTGCCAGTCCTTCTGCAATCTGCACACACTCGCACACACACACACACGCGCACTCACACATATGAGCAAAGCAAAACGTTATGCAATCGACAAAATGCATATGTGACAAAAAATAAAATGGTAGTTATGGTTTTTATTACATACCATTTTATTAAAATTGTAATTCTTTAGCCTGTCTTATGAAGAACTAAATCAAGGTAGACTTTTCTCAAAAACAACCTCTAAACAAGAATCATGAATTAAATGTGGTATTTAATCACTATATTGTTTTTTACCATAAAATTTTTTTATCTTTTCTTGTAGAAAAGGAAAATTGGAAACTATGACTTGTTGATTTCCATTAGTATTGCTTATAGCTACAGTTTTTGCATAACAAAAGCACCAGTAAACACTTGAAAGACAATGATATTTCTTCTTTTTTTTAAAGAATCTGGTCATTTCTACTGTATTTAACTTACAAGCAGCAGTGAAAGTGAGAATCGATAAGTGACATTCACACAGTTTGATTACCTGCTTACAAAGCAGTTACAGAAGGACCGGTAAGTGTTTCTGTCTTCAGTCTTCTGCGACTCTTATTTCTGCGGATGACACAATTGGCGGCATAAACACATGCCCACGTCCACCTGTATTCATACAAATAGGATTTTACTCATGCAAAAATAATCTTAAGAATCTTTTGGCCCTAGTAGCTTCTTGATTAAGGTATGATTTTTATTTTCTTTTAATAATGCTTTCTATATTTGGTAACCTAAGGCAAACTTTGGCATTTTCGGCTTCTTGGGGCTATGACCACCAGGATAATTTTTTTAGGTTGATCTTTTCAACATTTAATTTGTCTTTGTCATCTTTGTCCTTGTTCTTCTGTAAAGCCATGCTTTGTCCTTATATTACTGCCATCCAGGTTCAGTAAAACAGCATGGTTAACACACAATTTAATGATTTAAGATGGTCAGTAACGAGCAGTAAATTGATTATGTTGTTTGGTTGTAAAGACATTAGGTGGCATAAGATTAGACTTTGAAAAATTTATGGAGGTAAGCACCATAAGCAAAGGTCCAAAACAGGAAACCAAAGAGAGTGACAGGCATGGAAACCGGGTATGGAGGAAAAGGTGAATTTAGGAATCCAGGAGGTATAAATGCTGGGACCATGTGAGACTGGATACCGCAGTGGTGACAGCTCAGAGGGAATAAGGTATTGGAACCAAACAAGGGATGTTGACTAGAACTGAAGACTGATTAAATAAGTACAAGGCAACACTAGGTATCAGGGAAGCAACAAATTAACAGAACATAACAAAACAAAGAGTATCTTAAAAAACAATAATTCACGAACACAACAATGATGTCTTAAAAGAAACTCAAAACCAAAAGTGAGAGCCTTATATCGATGTCCTTTACATCGGCATGCCTATGTGGCACAGGATCTGCTGAAGGAACTCTGAAGGTTGGCCTTCAGATCGTTGAATTTTGTTTCCAGAGACTCTGGACAACAATGTGGAAGCTATGAGATTGGTACTGAAACAGTGTAGCGTGGTCCATAGAAAGGAGTAGTAGAAGTCAGCCTCCCTAGGGAGCACAGGAAAAGTCCCAAAAACCAAAAACTTGCAGAATCCTGTTGTCTTAGACCTCATAAAAAGGAATAGTAACATTCAAAGGGAAATTGTCTTCAACCCTCTTGATTGCAACTAGAACGTAGAGATGGGGGTCACCTCCAACCCCCTTGGCAGAAACAGGAGGCTGAAGCTGACCCTCCTGGGTTGGCTCAAGAAGTGTATCTGGAACAGCTGATGGGCAAGGAGGAGTGAGGAGGGAAGGCTAAGGGGACTTGAGACACAGAATCAGCTAAGTTGGTTTGAGATAAGTCAGAGGCTGATGTAGCTTTAAATTTGGAAGAGGCAGCGCAAGACATGAAAGAGGTTGAGAGATCTTGAGAAGAGGGAGTGATGCCTTATGATAAGGTGTGAAATGAGGATAATGCTAAAGAGGTTTGAGATAAGAAGTCCAGATGAGGGACACGTAGTGTGGAGGTTGTAGGAGAGAGACTGACTTGGATTAAGACAAGGCAGAGACTGAGGTGGTTTGAAACATGGAAGACGTTGAGGCAGCTTTAGACACGACAGAGGCCCTTGGCTTGTGAAACTGAAACGGAGGTCTCTTGAGATAATGATGAAGCTCAGGTGGCTTGGGATAAGGCAGAGGAAAGTAAAGCATGAGGAGATGCAGACCTAGGATGTGTAGCATTAAGGCTGGAGCTAGGAGAGGCAACCCAACAACTGAGGATGACAGGCATTTGGACTCTCCATGAATAGAGGGGCATCTTTAAAGACTACAGGGAGCATTGGCAATCTGACACTTGGTGGCTAAAAATGCATAATTGTCTCTCAAGTTCTGCCAGACCATCCAAAACTGAAGAAGTAGTATCAGCAGCTAAGCCCTCAGAGACGTAAGAGTGATGCTTGCAGTGTCTACGAAGGTAGGGGCTGAAACTTTGGTGGCGAGGCCCAAAGCTGTGACCAGGGTTCAGTTGGCAGTGGACATGATTTCTCTGGAAACTAGTCAATACTCATTTAAGTTGAAACAGGTATATATTTCCTAAAGCTTACACTTAATTATCAAGACCAAGTACATTTTGATGTTTACAAGGTTATTGGTGTATTCCCCATCATTTGTTTTACTGATTAAACCAAATCGACACCCTTTAGTGTCTCTGGCTTTTATTGTATCTGGATGCCAGCACTGCTGTTCTTTCTCTCTCTCTATTATTTATGCTAATTTAGTCCTTTAATTTCTTTCTTCCTGTTTTCCTTTACCAAAATTTGCTTTGCTGTTCCCTGTTACTCAAAAGTTTTGGGTCTTCTTTTAATTTCTGTTGCATTTTTTCAGCCTTAAATTTCTGTCTCTGTCACTTTGCTGTCTACTTCTGCAACTAATTGTCTGTCAACAATCACAGTCCGACTTCATTTCATCATCCCTTTGATCATCCAAGCTCACATTTTTCTACTGTACTCCTTCTTTGTGATCTGTCCACTGTTTTCTCTCCAGAGTGGTTAGCCTGTCTCTGAAGTTGACTTCATTACATATTTTAGCCTGTACAGTTTATAATGAATAGTTTTGTACAGAAAAGTTCATTTACAAGTCCTTTGAAATCAGAGGGCATCTGAAATGAGAATGGAAAGCTTCAAAGTGCTGCTACTTGCAATGCCAAGTCGATATTCTTGATCTAATCCTTAGTGGACACAAGGCTTCTCCCTTGGCAACCAAAGGAACCGTAGTAACCAATTATTGGTACTTCTTGAACTGACCTCTTGACCTATGTCAGTGTTGTTTTTAAGTCCTTGTCTTTATCTCTTGTGGTGTTTTGTAATATTCAACCACTCTTTTTCTCTCTCTTTACACACACATACTTACACTTTCCTTTAACTCCAGATTATTAATATCTTTTTACTCTCCTTATATTATTTCAGTGTTTCCACAAGCCTTCTCTCTCCCTCTCCCTCCTCATTCTCGCCTTCCCTTTTTATCTGTAACTGCATCTCATTAGCAGTCCTACATTGACAAAGTCTAGCTCTACTAACTGTCCCTATCGTGCACCCCCCTCCCCCCTCTATAATTCGCTCCCCTTATCCTAGAATGCTACTACCACAATGTCTGGTTGGTCCAAAACAAAACTAAAACAAAATAGAAAGAATACCATTCATCTCTTTTTGATGTCCCCTAAGTTTTTTCTCCTTTTAGGCAATGCCACAACTCAGATCCCTTCTAGTTCTGACACCCACTTAAGACAATGCACCCGTTTGGCATTGAGAGAGATCTTGACATGACATAAAGTGGTACCATTGCTGTATGATTTGACTTTGACCAAAGGATCAGTGAATGTGAAACAGTAGATGCTGCAAAAATAAAGGAAAAGAAAAATACAAAATAGATACTTGAATCCAAAAGGTAATTCCTGTGAGTTGAGGATACTCTCTTTGCGCGGATGCACGGCTGCTTGTCATGTAACAGTTTTGATTAAAGTTGTGGGGTAGCGGGTAGGGTAGATGAGTTGGGGCTTATTGATATTGAGAGTGAAGTGAAAGCATGTTGCATGCTTTGTTTGCATTTGTGGGACATTTACTGGGGTGTGTTGCGTGGTGTTTGCATGAAGTCTTTGCACTTTGTTGTCGCATGGCTCTGGTTGTATCAAGGCTGTTGCCTGCTGAGCGCTGTGAATGTTGGCCGATGCCCTTTGCCTGCCACATCACCTGGCTTTGGGCATGCCCGACACTCGCACACACTCATGTACACAGGCCTGCCGCCATGTCGTGCCCTCCATCGTGAGTGCCCAACGCTCATGTTCGTAGGTAAATCCGATGGATGCCTGCTGGTCAGGATAGGTACAGCAAGTGACCCAAGCTGGCCTAGCTTGCTTTGTCCTATCTGCAGGTTTCTCCATCTGTTTTACCAAGCATAGATATGTGAAGACAGGGAACCTCCTTACAGGTAGGGGGAGCTCAATAGCAGGTGCCTTGGTTAAATGAAACCATAGCTGTCTCCTGAATCCATGCAGATCTACACCAGTGATACTTTTATTGCTCTTCGGTCAATTGGGTTTTTTTGTCTCCAAAGGACTCCAATTAAGTTCTCTTAATTGCAGTCTGTGAAAATATCTGTTTTAGTGGTCAGAGAGGGTTGGGTGGGGTTTGGGTGGGGAGTTGGGCACGTTGGTGTATGTCAACTGTCATATACATATATATATATAATTCTATATGTGTGTAACAACAGAAATGTGTAAATGCGCACAAGCATTCACACATATAGGGAACATGGGCACAGGTTGGGTCGGATGCCGTTTTGGCTCTGATTGTTCTTCCTTTGTGGTTTTGCAGCTCTCACAGTTGCTTAGCAGCATTGGATAGTTGTGCTGTCTCATAGAGTATCACTGGAGAAACAGGAGACACCGGGACTTACTTTTTACAAGTTTATTGAAGTTCTAGCAAGCAATTGCCCTTGCATAAAATTACCACAACTGCATAGCATCCTTAAAACATGGAACCTCAACCTTTCCTGATACAGCTGGACACTTAAGACCCAAGTTAAGATTACTGACTGGGAACTCAGTCGTTCCTGCTTCAGGAAATAAAATCTGCAACTGAAATGAACCCAGTCCAGTTATAACCGGCTGTTGTCTATGGAGCTCTCTCAACCCCGACCCCTGCCCTTTGCCCTTCCCCCATCCCTGAGACTCAGGTACACCTCACCTTAGCGAAGACACCTCCCTTTCTCATCCTCTCATCCTGACTGGTTCTCCACAGAGGCTCCTTCGCATGGATCTGCCTGTTGCCGATGACAACACAGTGCATTTTAACTCCACCCTCATGGCTCTGATCAGGACAGCACTGGATATAAAGATTGCCAAGGGTATGACTTAACATTTATCCTCCCTACTCTCTGTGGAGCTGTGCAAGTGCATCTCCATAAATCGAAAAAGTGACGCTTGTATTTAACAGATTCACTACACTGTACCTCAAACAAGTTGGATACTGTGCCTCCTTACTCTTCTCCAGGCTATGGGATCTTGATTTTATGGGATCTTGATTTTACTTCTATATATATATATATATATATGTATATGTATATGTATATATAAAAACAAGTGGAAAAGTTACCTTTTTGCTGAACAGAGGAGAACCAGTGAATAGCAGTCCAGCCCAGAGTAGAACATTTGATTTTATCTCTTGTTCAGGGGGGCAGAACACAAAGAATTTGACTGTGGCGAACCCATAACCATAACCCATCTGTAGTTGCCTTTCCAAAACAAGTGTGCAGCAAACTGTGTCAATATGCCACATAATGTCAAAATAAGACAATTTCCCAATTGCCATGTCTCTGTTATATAAGAAATCAAATTAAATCACACATGAATAAGTTTGTTCAGGCAATAAGTCATAAAAAAAAACATGCCGCACCATGATCCTTCAACTACTTTCTCTTATTTTCTCCGTCGTGGTTTTGCATGTCAGGCCTGAGAGAACCAGTACATTTATAGGTTTTGAAATCCAGGTAATGTGAGCTGATGCTGGTGGTACCTTCAGATTCACTTGACAGTCTGAAGTGTGCATATCATAAAGATCACACGTTGCAGAGACTGCCCTGCAGTGGTTCAGTAGTTTGTTGATGACTGTATATTTTCAGGCTGGCTGCTTCTACATCTATGGACTTTAATGCCAGTTATTGTCTTATATAATCTTCACCATTCCTCCTTAATGTGTCAGTGCCCCAAGGATCTGATCTAGGCCCTGAAAAGCTTTGCACAAAGCTGTTGGTGTTAATAAGCACCTGCCTGACTATCGTCTCCATTCCTATGGTTGTGTAGGGTATAACAATGTCTGTGTTCAAAATATATCTATTATTTTATGGTCTTGTGTATTCAAATAAATTTGAGCTTATATTAGTGGTATGTCGAAAACAGCAAACTGAGCAGAGAAATTCATTATTTTTATGATTTCGCATTTATTGGGATGCACTTTCTTTTAAGATAATTCAAACAATATGTGTGGCGTTGCAGTTCCTGTTGGAAAAAAACTGTTGCAGATCGCATCTGTGCCTGACGTGAACTGATTACTTCTTTCATTTTTGGGTGAATGTGTACATGTGTGAAAGGATGTGGCATATTCCTTTAGTAAAATTGTAGCATTTTGCCTCCTTCTTGTGTCCTCTCTCCCCGGGTTTATGTGTTTCTTAATTTGTGCTAATCGGACGTCTGCTTGTGTATGCAAATATTCACTGTGTACGCGGACACTCGGTCGCTGGCTCACCCAGGCGGTGCAGATAAGCACCAGATGGATGCAGAGCTGAGGAAGGAGATGATGGCTATCTGGCCAAATTTATCACAGAAGACTCTGGACCTGCTGGTTACTCCACACAAGGGTAAGTCGCAGGAAAGCAACTGACGGTGGGCATAGTGGTGTGGTGTATCTGTGTCCGATCACCGACTCACCAAGAGGACAGCTTCTACCAGTCAGTGTCATTCACTGCTTTGCACCTCCTGATCAGACGTATGCAACATGAACGCTGGCTATTCCTGGCTCTTACCCACATGCATACATCTAACAATCGATCATACACTGCTATCTAATGGCAGATGATGGTTAAAGTGACGTGAAAACACTAGAAGTACAATTATATATGCGTTTATGTCAAACTATGGTGCACAGACATGCAAACAATACAGACCACCAGCATTTTATAGTTTAGAAGCTACAATCACAAAAATCAGTGTGTGAAGACGTTTTCTGTCATTTCCACAGTTACAAGAATGCCTACAAATACCTGGAAATGATGGCATGCATGAGCACGAGGGCCCCCCATTGTGTTTTTTAGAATCAGAATATACTTTAATAACACGGAGGGGAAAATGCTTATTTGTTGTCAAGCCACTCCATCCAAAGTGATAAATATTAAAGCACTTTGGATGGAGTGCTTTAATATAGCACATTTTCAGCTGCCTTGTTGCTGAAAATGTACTATATAAATAAAATTACCTTATTATCGCATACAAATATAACTATAAGTGATATAAAATTTCTACATAAAGAAAGTTATATATAAGTGTGATATAAGTAGTTTAAATATGATCTAAGGATAGTTCAATGTATTTTATATATTTATTTTATGTTAATTCATACATGAGTCTATAAATGAGTCCACAGTGTACTTAGACTTAAAGAGACTCAGAGTTTGGCTTTGAAAAGTTAATCAGCAGTTTGCAAAAGCTCAAAGTTTTTGGTAATGTGGAAAGTGTTAGAGGGGGATATGGCAAGCCATTTAGTCACATATTTTCACATTTTGCAATAAAAAAAAAAATCCAAAGCAATAAAGCAGAAAACAGCAAAGGAAATTCAATCCCACTGGACTCGTTATGTTACCTTGTGCTACAACTCCTAACAGTAGAGTTTTATATGAAAATATTTAACTGTTTGAAATGTTCTGTATTACTGTTAACGTGAAATTAAACTGGAATAACTCAACTTTATTTGCTACACTCCTTCCAGCAACAAGGCAGTTCAAAATGCTTTACAGCATAAAAACATAACACAATAACCAATCATAAAAGAACAATAAACATTATATTTTGTCAGTCATCAAAATCATCAAGAAAATGTAACATTTCTGAGTTTTGTTGAGTAATACAGTTGCAAACTTTCTTGAGCAGTTCTGAATTCTCAGTTTGTAGTTAACTGTAAACGCAGCGTTCGCTACACACAGTCAGTAATACATGCATTCACTCACTCAGAGAAACATTACGACGTCCGTTCCCTCACCGACTGTCTCTCAACCCACTCACTCAGTTCTGGTATCAGGGGTGCCCGCTATAGAAGATCCTCTATAGAAGTCTTTTCACTACAGGAAAATGCAGACCAGAGAAATGTCTGATCTCAGCTGATCCTTTCAGATGATTGTAATACTAATTTTTAATTTTGCTTGTAAAATGGGCCAAATGCACCATTTATGATCTTGCATGTTTATCAGCATATTCTTCTTGTTCAGCTAAATGCATGACTGAATACAATATCACCTATCTGCTATTTTTAAATAAAAGTTAATAAGAGGATTATATAAATGTAAAGAATGCTTAAAGGAGCTTTAAATAAGTCGGACCTGCAGCCACGCCACTTTGAAAACGTGAATTTTGAAACAATGTTTTTTCCTACACAATGGGGAATAAAGAAACACACAATCTCAAAGCTCAATATTTTTCTATTTTAAATGTTTTTGTGTTCCATCCAAACTCTGGAACTACATGGCTGGAGTTTTTAGAAAAAAGATTGAGCTTCTGTTTTCTGGGAATTCTGGGTCAAACGAAGCGTTTCTTAGTGAGGTGGCTCAATCGTCCTCAGCCTTGACAAACTTTTACCTTTTTTTATTAGAGTGTAGCTGTACAGTAACAAAATAAAACAATGTTAGCTACAGTGTTGAGCACAAACTCTGCCTGTGAAAAGACTACAAGCTTTACTGTGCTAATAACTGTACAGTGTTGTAATATTGTGTTTGTTGCGCACCAGCAGCGGTTACAGCTGACTTCCTCAGAGCGATAAAAGAGCTAGAAGCCTTCATAAAGTTCGGCTCCGCCAGTGAAGATATGCAGAAAGCCTTTAAATAAATATATCTTTTAAGCTAAATTTATGGCGTTTTAAGGTCTTAATGATTTTAAGACTTTCTAAGAACGCACTAAAACAATGTTTTAGTTGCATCTTAAAACACCATGCATGACCACTGGTCATCTTATTTTTTTTTTTTTTGACACATTTAAGAAACTATATGGGTTCATACTAATGTGTAACACTGGAATGTTTGTAACTCATTGAAATATCATCACTCACTGAATTCTTTACGACTCCATCAGCCATTGTGCTTAAGACAAAGATCAGCAACAAGGCAAAAGGTTAATTCGCATTTAAGCTTTTTTTAACTGGAGCGCCGATCCTATCGAAGTTCGGTATGTCACAGCTGCCACCGTTGCCGGTGCGTCTTGCATGCTGTTGTATTTTTCTGTGTCCTGTCTCCCACTCCCATCCCCCCCTCACGGCTCAGGGTCCCATCTCGCTCGGGTCTAATCTTCCAGGGTAACTTGTCATTTTCTCAGCAGCCACAGACTTGACGGTGGGCAAAATCTACGCTGCCATGATGATCATGGAATACTACAGACAGAGCAAGACCAAAAAGCTGCAAGCCCTGCGAGAGGAACAGGTAGCCCCTCCCCCCCCCCTGCTTCCCTCCAGCCCCCCCACCAGGCATCCCTGAAAAAGCCCCATAGTGCACAAAACTAGATTTATTCTTCTGCTCTCGCTAGGCATCTTTGTAGGATACTGCTATGCTTCTGGAAAAATTTGTAAATATGAAACAAAAAAAAAAATCATTAAATGACATAAATTGTATAAAGATGCCTTTTCCCTTGCTTTAAATAGACGCTCCTGTCCTTATTTTTGTTGTTTTGCATGTATCCTGGCATTCTTTATGGCATCATGTTGCTCAGTTGTTTGCCTTTAATCTTTGCAAGTTGACTTTATCGAAATAGTTGCAGCCCTTTCTCTTCATGCTACTTTAGGTTTCATTTCTTTTCCATGCTCTGACAGTAACGCTGTGTTTTTTCCCCCCCTGTTTTTTGCTTTGTTTTCGTTGGTAATTCTGAACATAATGATGATGATGATGATGATACCACATGGCCTTACCTTTTTGCTCATCGTCAGTGCTCCTCCCTTCCTGTTAGTGATCGACTACGCGATGCACTCGCTTCCCACTGTCTCGATGTTTTCGGTTCACGTTGTGCACACACGGAAACATCTCTCCACTCTCATCGTAAACGTCCTGATTCCATTCGGCTATTTGAAACGTTTCGGACCGTTTCGGTCTGTCAGGCGTTTGCAACCTTCAGGCTCCGGATAGATATTTTTTTAAATAAATTGTTTAAAGCCACAAACCCCACCTCCTGAAACCAGGAGCTTTCGGTAGCATCTTCTGTTAGCAGTTAGCACCGTTAGTGTTAGGTGTCCTTAAAGAATTGTGGACACAAATTTATTGTAATTTCTTTTCCATGGAGGAATTTCTCTCTTGCAAACGAAATGCAATGCAGTGGAGACTGGAGAGTATGTTGGTCCAGTTTGTTGGTGTGTCCTTGCATCATTTTTATGTCATTTATTCTTTCCTGTCCTCCACACTCATGTTTTATTAACTCAGAGGATACAAGGATGAATCCACCTTTAACAAACATCAGACTCGATAGGATGGTGTGTCGGTTTTAGTGAATGGCATTTTGATTTCTTTTTCTTATAAATTATTAAATTATTCATAAAAAAAATAATGCATTATATTTTGATTTTAGTCGTTTAGGATACTATTGTACAACCTTTTATAGTTTAAATGTATTTATTCATTTACTGAACAAGCGAATCCACCAAAACTTTATTTTAAACACAGACAATTAAAATCATAAATGGCACAGATTTAGTTCAAATAAGGAAAACATATAGAAAGTTTTACTTAGGAGTTATTTCTTGTTTTGTTTAAACAAGAAATAAGATATAAGATATCACTTGCAGGACAAGTGTTAGCTACTAAAACGAGTCCAACTTTCAAGCACAGGTAAGAACGATACACACAACTACCAGATGGCAAGAACCTGCAGTATGCAGCATTAAGAACTAAATATTAGATTTTTACTCACACACACACACCTAATGGAAATTTAGAGAGACCCATCAGTGAAAGTGCATAAGGAAATGTGTTTATTATTTAAACTGAAAGGCAATGTTTAACAGTGAAAGGTGGATTCTTTCTTAGCCATTTGTTTGTACCTCCACCCATTCTGTTGCACTGCAGGAAATCACCACCACCACCGTTTGACGTCAGATTTTTCATTTTTGTCTGTTTTTTTATGTCTCTTGCTTTCTGTCTTGTAGTCTATTATCTCTCTGCCTCACGTCTCTGTCCTTCTCATGGTCTCTATCGATCCATCTGGATGGTGATAAAACAATGTCTTATCAAGCTCTTCGTCTTTGGCCGGTCCAGGTTGACCTTCACCTTTAACTTGGACTGTCGAAGCCTGGTTTTATTACTTTGATCTTCTCTTTTTTCTTGGTTTACTTTGTGATTATTGGTGGAATGTTGAATGACAATTGCTGTCTCGCTAGCTGCATTTCCAAACAAACCTGCGCATAATTTTGTCAGTGTTGTGCTAATGTTTAAAAAACACAGTTTCTCAACTGCGGTGTTTCCATTAATAAGAAGCACAACTTATGTGAATGAGTTTGTTTTCATAATGATATAAGAAAAAACATGCTGTGACGTCACCCTCCTCCCACTTCCTGTCTTCTTCTTCATGGTTTGCGCCAGGAGCAACATGTGGTTGTTGATCATGTGATTTGTGTACTGTAAAAAAAAAAAAAGGTGTTTCCCTTGCAGTTTTTTGGAACACACTAATTTCGATGCAGCTGAAAAACCACCAGATCCTCACGCAAAAAAAACTTCTAAGAAAAACTAATTTTTAACAAAATTGGCGTCTTTTCAACAAGCAAATTTAATTTTGTAATTCCAATTTTATGGTCAATGGAAACGCAGCTATAGAGTAACACAAATTCCCATGTTCGCAACACCTTGCACTAGATAAGTTGTTGATGTGAGATGTTTTTTTAATTAACTTCTAGACTTTAATTGGCTTCGGGTAATGCAAGACAAGTCTGTTAGCTTTCGTTGTTTCACTGATTTAGACAAAATCTGTTTTCCTGAACCTGCCTTGTTTCTGCTTCCTGATCAAAGATCCAAATAAGTGTGTTTCTTTTTGGCATTTAGGCCAAAAAGAATAAATTCGTGCTGTGGATTTCCCAATCGGGACTTTCTTGTCTTGGACACCAATCCGAGTCATTTTGCTAAGCTATGATCTACATAGGAGAGAGACTGAAAGACGGGCTCAAGCCATTTTAATAAAACCCCGTGTTATTTTGCCGATACCTGTGAACACATCAGGCCTTCTGCTAATTTATAGTAATTTCTCCACATTTTTGGCAGAGCAGCCAATTAACGAAGGTGTAGCATAGAAAGCGTGTTACCCTACACTCTTTTGAACGGCTTGATGGATGTCTAGCCGTATAGAAGTACAGGATCAGATGTCAACCTTCCACCAAACTGCATGTTACTCAGAAACTTTGTATGATGAAAAATTGACAGGACGGTCAATTTAAAATTTCTGGGTACATTATTTTCTTATCCATGTCATAGTTCTATATGGTAATGTGTTCTAAAACGTGTGAATTAAGAGCAATCTTAACTCAGACTCCTAAGGTAGAAGCTCCACAGTGACGCAGATCCTGAGATCAGCTCCCTACCTGAACACGACGCACTCCGTTCTTCCCAAAACAACAAACGGTTCAGGCTGGACAGAGGAGCTCGGATCAGCTGTCCAGTGGCCAGCTTTACCTTTCGATATCCACCACAGCCATGTGCTTGCCGATGGCGCCCCCATGTGGGTGCATGCTGCGAGTGCATCCTGTGTTTGTGTCCTTATGTGTTTTTTCCTCCCCTGTGAGTGTGCCTGATGCAAGCCTGCAGGCCATGTCATGTATCTCACACAGAACCGAACGCCATTAATGTTTCAGCGCATGGAGCCACCCTCTGAGGGAGGGGGCCCGGAGGGCCAGGCGGGGTCAGGCCAGAACGGTCTGCCCAGCGTTCAGCCGGACAACATCAACAGCATGTGAGTGGACCGGATGAGAAAATGCAGGGGAGCCTTTATGTGCTTCTAGGTGTTCTTGTTTTAACGTTTCAAAACAAGAAAAACAAGAACCTCCTCAGTTTTCTGCCTTGAAGCGGATTATGGTGCCGGATGATAAATCTAGATAATGTTTAAAACATCACCATCTGCTGGAGCTATTGACAAATTACATCGGTTTTAACTTTATTTAATCAAAACTTTCATTTTCTTTCACTTTCCTGCATCTTTTAGAACATTTCAGTGAGTTTGAAATGATCTGCTCTGATTAGCCCAGGTGCTACATACCTGGGTGAAACTTTCACTGAGATGTGTAAGATCCCCTCAAAGTTATCATGACATTTATTTTAAATCTGGAAGATTTTTTTTTTATTATTTTCCTAGAGTTGACTTTGAGAAGTGCCTATTACTAACAATTATGAGATTGGAATTTCTTTAGATTTGCTGATATTTAGAAACTTTTCTGTGCAAAAAAAAAAAAATGCAGCACCGTGAAAAAGTTTGATTTCTTGGTTTGTCAAAAAGAAAAAAGTCTACATTGTCGTAATTTCAGCGTAGAATTTTGAGATTTATACAATTTGGAATAAGACTGTACCAACAAAATGTGGAAAAATGAATGCTGTGAATATTTTCTGGATGTGCTTAGCAGTTTGAAAATGCCTTCAAAAAAAAATCCCTAATTCATATCATATTTCACCTGTCAGTTAAATATTTCACATGACTATGTTCTAAAAGTCGACCATGTATCCAAGCTGAACCAAAAGCTGTGGCTGAATGTTTCGTGTGTGTGTGTGTGTGTGTGTGTGTGTGTGTGTGTGTGTGTGTCTGGACTCCAGACCCCCTGAAGGTGGTTTGACTGAAAGCCAATCATGGATGACGGCTAAAGCACAGGAAATGTTCCAAAAGACCGGGAACTGGAGCCCGGACCGGCCCTACCCCGACGACGTCCACGAGAACCGCCACAATCCCCAGGTACGACGAGTCCCAAACTAGTAACCCGTGGCAACACGCAGTAGGACATGACTCTAAAGCAAAGCAAAAGTTTTTCTCCAACCGTACGATCTGTGCCTCGGAGCAGCGTTGGGTTGGTAATGACATATTTAAACATTACCAGTTGTTTTAATGGAAATCCTGCTCAGGGTTTCTGCTGTTGCAACACATATGACAGAATTTATAGAAATGAAACGGTGTTAAAGGTCTGAAAACACGTAGTGTGTCTTTTTTAAATACATCAGCCTAGCTAAAAGGTTGTTGGCAAACTTACTTCTCCATACATCTGTCATCTTCTTTTTTGTCCTTCATGAAATTCCCAATCATATTCTGTGAGTCCAGTGGGGTTTTTTTCTTATTTTTTATTTCTACTTCCATCGACCTCGTGTCCTTCAGCCTCGTCTCTTCACGCTGCCTCTCGTTGAGATGCTGGTTTGGACTTCGTGGACGTTCGTTGTGATGTGCACCTTCACTCTCCGCGCTGCGCCTTGCTTTCACTTGTTTGTTGACGCTTCCACTCCTCAAAGATTTAGCTCTAGTTTGGAACATGTCATGTAATATGAGCAAAGATTGATTTTGATTCCACAATATGCCTTAAGAGACTTTTGTCTCCTACGGCATGATCATGCGTTTGACACTTGATGCCATTTTTGCTGTAATTTGAAACATTTGGTTGGCAGCTTTTTACATGAAAATGTCTTTGCTTCTAAAAATAATAATAGTTTATTCATTGTCAGTTGTTGAACTCCTGCGTCATAGTGGCATACATTAACCTACATCACATGCTTTATCATAAAAAGATTTTTTTTTTTTTTTTACTGACAGTTTGTTGTGGCAGTATTCATCCCCTTGAACTTTCCTGCATTTTTGCCACCAAACACTTTATGTATTTTATTGGGATTTTATGTGTTAAACAGGACAAAGTAGTGCATAATTAATATAAAAATCTGAAAAGTGTGGCATTCATATGTTGTCGTTCAATGTCAGTATATTTACAGCGGTTGTGTAGAGGTGTAGAAAGGGAACCCTCTGAAAATGGAAAGAGTTTGAGACAAATCCAGACATCAAAACACGACTGTCCATCTAAACCAGGTCCAACATTTACTGTCCTAGGAGCCACAATTGGCCTCAGCCCAGCTAAATAGGGCTTGTTTAAATGTTACATGACCCTTAAAAAAGACAATTTATTATTTTTGATATACTTTAGGAAAGTAATGTTAATTTATGAAGAATGTTTTTAGGTTTTAAAATAATATTTTTAAAAAATGTAACTTTTGCGGAAAAGAGAATGGATATGTTTCCTTATGTGGGGATGTTGACATTTTACAAAAATAAAATGAAAAACAAAATAAAACGGCACAGATTCCAATTTAATGACAAAAATATTTATATATACGCAAAACAAAGTCACTAGTATTTTTATTATTATTAGTAAACAAAGCATGTATCAGAAAACGGCTTTGTAAAGAGGCCATTAACTAGAGAAGTGGTTGCACAACTCTAGAGGAACTGCAGAGATCCACAGTTCAGGTTGGAAAACCTGTTGACATCTCTTAGTTGTGTTCTCTGCAAATCTGGTCTGTTTGGAGGAATATCAGTATTATTGGGTCCACACCCAGAAAATGTTCAAGGGTTGGCCAGACCACACCGGTAAACATATAAGCTGCTAAATATATATATATATATATATATATATATATAATTTTTTTTTTTTTATTATTTATTTGTTTTTGTTTTTTTTTTTCAAATGTATTTGTCTATTTCACATTTCTGTCTCGATTGAAGAAGACATCTCTATATGACCAGATCATGGTCCTCGTGGAGCGAGGTGGCTGGTTGACATTTTTGAATGGTTGCCACGGGGGATTAAAGGATTCCTCAAACATGCATGAAAGAATCAAAGCAACCCTCCAGGTGTGTTTTTAATGAAGGAATAACCTTATAACATGATGTAAAGCTAAAAAACGTTGAATTTACATAATACTGCCCCTTTAAACTAGCGTTTAGAAAAATTATTCCTACCCTTCTAACTTTCTGAATTATAATTTTTCTACTCCAGCAGCAGTTTGACACTAACAATGTGGAAGGTAATCAATAGGAGACGTGTGTCTTCAGCACGCTGTTTCTCCAAGGTGGTGGCAGAATGGTGCTGTGGAAATGCTTTCTCTTTAGCAGGGAAAGAGGGTTTTGGAAGTGAACCTGTGTTAGAGGTTGAAGAAGATTTGAGTCTGTGCTTTGTTGTTTTCTTTCCACTTCAAATCTGCTTCTCTGTAATTTTAGCTTAAGCTAAGTTAGCTTCAGCTAACATGTTAGGTTAATGCTGGTATAGTGAGCACAAGCTGTGGATTATACCACATTATAAATGAGTAAAGACGAACTTTCCTTCAGCTTGGAGTCACTTTACTGAATTGACTATGAACCGCTGCGTGTTTATCAAATAAAATCCCCCAATAAAAATACGTTAAAGTTCGTCAGAAAAATGTGGGATTGTTTAAGGGAAATCAGCTATTCTGCAGCGCGCTGTGCCGTGTCATCCTTTAGTCTTTTTGGGTTTTGCACAGCAACAGGTTGCAACAGCTAATTTATGCAACTCCCCCGTTGCATAAATGGAGTCGGAATATTAAAGTTTTCTGAAAATAAATCGATTCCCTATTGAGTTTGACTTCATTCCACCTCCCTTGGTTGGTCAGCGAGCCAGCACCGTGTCAGTGTCCAGTCGCTCAGCAGACGGCGGTCACGCCCCCCCCTCTCATTGTGTTTTGCAGACTGTAGAGATGAGGGAGATGGGGCGGGACGGGTACTCCGACACTGAGCCCTGTCACCCAGTGGATGGGCATGGGCGGACGCTCTCCATGCCCCGCCTCTCGGCAGACAACCAAGTGAGCACGATCATCCCACCTCCTCCTCCACCTCCACATCTCTCCATCCTTACTTTCCATCCTCAGCTCCGGTTATTAGTTTGAAGTGAATCGTCAAAGTCTTTCTTCTCGCCCCGAGCGAGACGAGTCTGACGATAACCTCAGCACAAAAAGACATTAGCAGTACTCTGTGATGAATTTGGTTGTTTTTATTATTACATTTAATGATTTTAATAGTCGTAAATATAATCCACACCAAAAATATTTAGCATTCTGATATTTTACAGAATGCCTAGTCGTACCTGTAAGTCATTATTATTGGACAGATTATGAAGTTTGCCCTTTTTTTGTAAATTGTTTTCGATCATGTAGACTCAACTTTTTTGAGAAAGACTTTTTCATTCATTTCCCGCTGCCTTGTTGACCTGCATGACCTTCATCACCTCCTGACTTCACTTTTTTTTTTCTAAATGGACCTAAAGATGAGAAAGCCTAAATATGTATAGAGATACATATCTAGAAAAACAACAGTCCCAGTCAGAAGTTTGACTTCTTATTTGAAATAACTAAATAAGTTCATCCAAACTGATGACTTGTACATCTTATGTAAATTGTATAAGGTTTAGTGCTGGGTGATAAAGCTTAAAAATAAAATCTCACATTATCTCACATTTGATTTCCCATTTTAAAAAAAAAAATTCTTACTTTTTTCCATAATGAAAAAATTACAAATGACCGAACACATTTTAAATATTGGTGAATTGGCCTGACTTTAAAGTCACAACAAACAGAAGCTGTAACAAACACTCTTCTAGCAAAAGATGGTGACTTTTCCTCTGAACTGTAAAAAAGTTCATCGGTGAAAAGAAAAAATGGAGATCTTCAGGCATAGAAAATTGAGTTAAAAGATAAAATTAATTGATCACCCAGCCCCATTTATATTCCTTCCCTCTTTGTATTTATTAGTTCATTCCCATTAAACCTTGGTGTGTCTGTCTTGTGTGAGCTGTAGCCAGAGGTCACGTTTTCCATGCTCATTCACTGTTGCTTAGTGTTTCTTGATCATCTAATCAGGAACAAATTTATGCAAAACTGCCAGATTTTGCTGCTCGATGCTGAAAAATATGTAGAATAAATGTAAAAGAAGCCTGTTAACATCCAGCTGACTTTCCTTATCTGACCTTAACAACAATAAAAAATACCCAAGTTAATCAGAATCAAAATTAGCTTATATTGTTGTACAGAAGCAAAACAAAATTTGTTTCGGTACAGCCGATCTGAAGAACGCAAAAGAACAGAAACAAACAAAAGACAGGTGCCAATCTGTATAATTTTTTTTTGTTTTCTTCACATATGTACATTTTTTTATTTTATATGTATATTTTGGAAAAGAGTTAGTGAGGAAAAAATATCACAAAATGTCTTTCAAATATTTCAAAACTTGCAAGTTATTCCTCCCTAAACGTGATGAGTAGTTACAGTAACAGCTGTCATCAGGTGTTATAACTTGCAACGAGTCTATAATATATTTTTTATGAATTATTTATTGTTTTGTGTGGTTGCATCGGTTTTGAAGCCTCTGGCTGCAGTCACACACACACATGTCCATGAAAAAGAACCACGGCCAACATCCCACTACATGAAGCCATGTTGCTCTCACTCTGGTATGTTCATTACTGAATTATATATATATATATATCAACTTCAACACAACATGTGACACAGGGGACATGGGAGAAAATGTTAGAAAATATCTTTAGTGTTATTAGACAGAAACATCTGCAGTTTGTTTCCAAGTAGAGTTTAGTCCATCTGTCTGCAGAACATATTTAACGTAAAACTGATACTCAGATTTCAAGGCAGGATCTTCTGGAAGTGAATGACAAGTTTTTTGAGTGAGTGTGTGTGTGCATGTAGGTGTGTGTGTAACCTCTGTGACTTCCTGTTGTCTAACACTGCTCTGCCTTCCAGAGAGCTCGTGGTGTTTTGGTAAGTGTGTTAATGAGTGTGAGCGGGTGGACGCTGGCAGCTGCCGTCTCCTGGACGACACACACTCCTCTGTCCACCGTCTGCACTCTGGTCTCTGTGTACTAACTGGGTTCTCTTTCTCTTTTTTCTGTTTCCTGATCTGTCTCTTCCCCCAAACCTGAACTGTGTTCTTTTCATTCATTTTCTGTTATTATTTTTTTTGCCACATAATCAAATCTATCCATTATCTCCCATCTCTCCCTCTCCTCTGACTGTCTGTCTTCTCTAACTTTGTTAATTCTTTCTGTCTTTGTCTCCTCTGTTTCTTCTTTCGGCCCTGGTGACTGTGCCACGTTTGGACCTGTGCTTTGTGTTGTGTGTGTGTGTGTGTGTGTGTGTGTGCGCGTGCTGCACTGCTCCGCTCTACGTATCATCTGTGTGTTTGCCTGCTCTGCAGCGGAGAAGACACAGGCCCCGTGGAAATAACCTCAGTGTATGTACCTCTCTCTCCGTCTCTGTCTGATTCCAGTCCTCCCCTCTGCTTTCCTCCGTCTCTTTGTCTTTGGTTCACTTTTAAATTGTAATTTGAAGGCTCATCATCTCCCTCCAGGCGGGTTGCTTCAACCAAAGTTCACTTGGTGTCAGTTTGCCTGTCTCTCACTGTTACGGCAATTTTTCTTTGTAGTCACTAAAGATTATTACATTACAACATGTACAGTAGAATAATAACCTCAATGGTTGCTTAGAAATAAAAATATTCCACTCCTACTGGCAGCCAACATGTCTGTTGTCGTTTATGAAGTTACACACGTCTAAAAACTTTACAGCAATAATTTCATATTATTTAGCCTGTAATGAGTGAAAAAACTGGTTCATTTTTCAAAGCTAAATTTTAACCATTAATTCGTAAATATCAGTTTTAAACTACGTATATAATTAGCTGGCTAATTATTTACCCTCAAACTAAATTTTAGCTCCAAACGAAATGTTTACTTAGCAAGCTAAATATTCAGTTTCAAAACTAAATATTTAGCTTATGAAACAAAATAATTAAATATTCAGTTCATAAGCTAAATATGTATCCTCAAATTGGATATTCACCTCCTAGATAAAAATTTAGCTTAAGTACTTTATAAACTAATTATTTAGTTTGGAGCTAAATATTTAGTTTCCTAACTTGATATTTAGCTCAGATCTAAATATTTAGTCAACAAGCTAAATATTTAGCTCCAAACTAAATACTTAACTTGCTAACTTAATACTTTAAAAACGTAATATTTAGTTTGAAGCTAAATGTTTAGCCTGCCAAATTAAGACTTAGTTTGAAATCATGACATTTATAAATGGATGAATAACATTTTGAAAATATGATTTAGAAAAATGAACACCTATTTTTTTGTTTGTTTGTTTGTTTTTTGTATTGAAAATTAACTGTAAAAATTATTGTTGGCAATTTTTGATGTGTGTAACTTTACAAAGGCACTCTCTACCAACAAGCCTTATGGTGTTGCTGTTGCAAATTTTATTTATTTTTTTGAATAATAGATTAAAAAATGTTGATGTTTTTTTTTTTTACAATCACTGTAAAAAAAGTCAACATTTATTGTCTTGACCCTAAATGTCAAGACGATAGAAGATGTAATCCTGTAGGTTTGATTATCTTCATAACTTTGAAAACGGTAACAAGACCAAAACCACTACAGCTAAAAACATTAATTTTGTAAAAAATTATTTTCTCTTTAAGTGAAACCTTCAATGAAAACACTGGAGATTTTGGCTTCCTGTGGATTTATTTTAAGGTTTCTCTTTTTAAGTTAGTTTTCTAAGGTATTAGGTTGAAATACAAACACATTTTTCAAGCCTTGTTAAGTTTATTCACTTTTAAAATCAGTTCTTACTTCTAGCTGTTCGCTGGATTAACTCATGAATTCATTTCTATAAAACATTGTATCTTCTTAAACAGAGAAAATCTGAGCCTCCAAAACCCCAAAAAGTTGATAGTGGAGGAAGACTTTGGTGCTCTGCATTATTAATGATACATAATCTAAATATGTTGTCATGTTACTGATAAATATAAACTGTTAATACTTCTTGGAAGGCATCTAAAGTGGACTGTTCGACTTGAAAGCTGTCTGCTCTACAAGCACAGAACACAACTTCAAATTTGTTTCACTTAAAAAAGACTGTGAAACATTTATGGATATTTTACAGAATTAGTTTGTATGACTTATGAACTAATGTCAAATGAAAATGTCATAAAAGTCAAGTTAGCTTGATTTTTTTTTTTGGCTGTTTTCTAAAGGCAGCATCTTGGTGTTCTTGATATGAAGCTCACCCACCTGGACTCCAACTTTCTTTAATCAAACTGGGACTTTTTTTGTTACACTATTCTGATCTAATTTGGTTTCATTTTTCCCCCTTCCTCTTTTCTCGAGTCTCCTCTCTTTCTGTTTGCCCTACTTTCTCTCGTTCCCAAATTTGCTTGTGTTACGCTCACAGCCATTGTTTGCTAACTTCTGACTTTTGCTTGGAGTTTTTGCTCGTACACAGCATCTGACTGTATGTCCTCCGTACGTGTGTGTGTGTGTGTGTGCGTGTGTGCGTGTGTGTGCGCTCGTGTGCGTGTTGGGTCTAACGGGGGTATGCATACAGTGGTGTGTGTCCAATTACGTTGCATCTCTGCTGATTGGTTCGACTGAAGCATGGACTATGTTGGCGGTGTGCTGGCATGTCGTCAGTCATGCATGAGTTTCACAGCAGATGGGCGCAGTAGGAGACCAACGGGGAGAAGCTTGTTGGCCGAGACTTTGTGGTCATACTGAATCTGTAGAGCCGATGAAAGGGGATGATGCATGATTTTTATGTCATTTAACCGTTATCTGCCGAGGTTAGACCAACTGAGATCGAAGATCTCTGTTACAAAGGAGCCCTGGTTTTAGAAATGAACGCATACCAATGACTGAGGAAGATGTCCAGTCAATTTTAGAGTAGAACAGTGAGAGGACCGCGGATGGCAATAAATCTCAACGCCCCACTGTGTGCACCGTCTTCCATGGAGTGAAGCGTTCATAAAAACTGCATCGGTACATCCCCGCTAATTTCTGTTTCACACAAACAGAACATGCCTGTTCCTTTGCATGTTGTCTGTCTACAAAACCAGTCTACTGTAACTTTGCTGTGAAAAAGTTTGTAAAAGCTTAAAACTGCTGAATGATCACAACTCTGCACTTTCCTGCTCATGCTTGGCGTAAACCTCAACACAAGCATTTTGAGACCTTTTGCTCAAAGTGTATGACAATAGAGAAATGGTGTTTTGTATTTCTTGTCACCATGGTGCCCGGATCTGAGAGCATCACACTTGAAAGGCCAAGAGGCTTTGCAGCGTAATGATTAGTTGAGGCTGTAAAATTAAGATGTCATCTAAAAAGAAGACCTTTAAGTAACATTTAAATAATAATTTTAACTTCAGCCTTGTACTGATTTATTGGCAAACTACTCATTACAGTACAGTAAAGTTTTCTCAATAAAGTCAACTAAAGAAAAGGTTAAAATGTTTTTTTATTCATCTAAAAAAAAAACATTGCAAAAATGTTTTGGTTTTTTTATGCAAAAAGTAAAAATGCGGTGTTGTTCATTTAGTGTAAATACGTTTTCAGACACTTTGAACTCGTGTAAATCAGTTCCAGTGGATTGGAGTGGATGTTTTTTCCACCCATTCAAGTTCCACTAAAAAGAACCCTTAATGCTTCAGCGTCATTTCGGACAATGTCATGTTCCCAACTTTGTTAGAACCGTTTGGATATGTCCCACTTCTTCTCTGAAATGACACAAAACAAGATCCATGAAGGTATAGATGGATGACCTTCTTGTCCAACATCAGTGTTTGACCTCACAAATGCTTGTCTGGAGAAATCGTGAAAAATACCATAAAGACACTCTGAAACATTGAAATCTCTTGCCCAGAACATGACGACTGAGACAGATGGAGCAGGATTTCAACCGGCAACCCACCAAGTTGTACATGAAGACAAAAAATGAGAATAACTAAAAACTCAAACACATTGACGCATAATCTAGTGTCAATGTAACTTTCTATCTTAAAGTGTAACTATACGTCCCTGTGAAATCATAACCCCGGCCCCAAACCATTTTTAGAGAAATTCTGCCAAAGTGGGCGGAGCCAAGAGGCTGACGTGGGCGTGGTCGAGTGTGGAGCTGTCAACCAAACTGTAGCATCCAAACCGATAGGCAAATTGAAATACTGTAGGAATAAACATGATTACATAAACACGTTTACACAAATATGTCACAATTTCCAAAGTAACAATAGATAGCACCCTTATGACTCTTAAAGCAACAATAAAAAGCAATACTCACACTTGTTTTTCATTAAGAGTGAAATGTGTTGAATAAATTTCATTGTCAAAGAAAGTTGTAGTAATTGAAAGAGTTTAATTTTCCTTTGAAGATGCCACTTTTTCTAAGAGAACGTCTACCTGATGAGAATGGCTTTCTTTATTTGCTGGCCGAGTTTGACGTGGCTGCCATGAGGTGCAATGATCCTCTGCGATGTGCATGTGAGGCATGGGGGGGTTTTCTCATCCTCTTGCTTGTTCTCTGCCTCTTTCTGTCCTGCCTGTCAGTGAATATCTCTGTTCGCTTCATTCCTTCATGCTTTGTGGAGATGTGGGTTGATTTCCCTCACACATTTTGTTTTCTGTGCGGATTCCAGGCATGAGTAATGAGCAAGTGTTGCGGTAAAAGAGTTGGTGGAGATTTATCACTTGAAACGTCTCATTAGGTAAAAGCTGAGGAGTGTAGAAAATAAATCCAGCTCTAGGTAACAAACGCACACCGAAACTACAGCTGCTATAGAGCTATAATATAAATAGACGTTTAACATATTCGTCTCTGTGGAAAGCCAAATAAACAATTCCCTACTTTCACAATTGAGAATAAACTCCAGCTTTCAGGAGGTAATAACTAGCTTATGTCTCTCCTCTCCTTTGTGTTTCTCTCACTCCCGTCGTTGTCAAAAATCTCCCACCCTCATCTTCTTCAGACCATCACCGACAACAGCCCGATGCGTCGCTCTACCTCCAGTCTGGTCCACGGGCGTTCGGGTCGTGGCGTGAGGCTGGACGACTACTCTCTGGAGAGGGTGGTGTCTGAGGAGGGGAGGCACGGCGGCGGGCGCAGGCACAGGGACCGAAGTCATCGCACTTCGCAGCGATCGCTGACCAGATACACGGACGCCGACACAGGTGACTCGGTTGACCGCTCCTTTTTTAATTTAAGGATAGCCGACGTCAGATAAGTCATGATGTGTCTGTTTGTTTTCAGTTGTAGAAAGTGGAACATTAATGACAAAAATGACAAGGCAGCAGAACTCTGAACATGTTGAATATCAAGTGTTATCACGAAGTTGTAAATGTGAAGCTGCAGGATTTCCTGTGATAATTAATTTCAGTTACAAAATTCCTACAGGAGCACCGAAACGCTTCAAACATTGCCACATTTTGTCGCAACACAATCGCCAACTTCCATGGATTTTATGGGGACCGACATGAATTAGTGCTATAAGAGAAATTACACAACTTACATTTTTTACATTGGGAGATTGGGAATCGGACGAAACTTTCAAGAGAAACGGATCTTATTTAACTCCACAAATGTCTGAGAATCAGACTAAATATAGCATCATGGTTGCTTTATTTAGCATTTAGCATATTTTTAGTGACTTTGTTGCAATATTTAGCAACAAAATAATTTGTATCAGTCAAACTCAGAACCAAGCAGGTCAGACTTTTCAAAAATTGTGATGGTCCAGAACGCTGCATTCACAGTGGACCTCTGACACAGCTATGTGGTTTGCCTTTATATTCAGAGTTTCTTTACTCAGACACCAAAAACATAGAAGACCAAGAAACACAGTAAGAAAAGGTTGTAGACAGTATTTGAACAAAGGCCACATCAGTATTTAAATGAGGTAATTAGATCCTGCAAAATTAATCTACATGGCTGAAATGATTCAAGTTTTTTTTTTTTATAATTGTGAGCTGGTGAATAATAGGCTTGGTGGAAATCCTGGGAGATTATAAAAGCCGGAATATTTCTCTTTGAATCCACTTCCTACTTCTTGTGGATTCCTGGATGCTATTTTTATTTGCTCGTGTTTTAAAGTCTACCTTCTTCCTTCTGTAAGAGCATCAAGAGTCTTTCTTATATGCCTGGTGCCTGAACTAAAAGCTTTTGTAACCTTCATGTCTGACTTTGACAGGTATCCTATCTATTTCATGTCTAGGTCTGGGTACAGACCTCAGCACCACCACACAGTCAGGTGACCTGCCTCCCAAGGAGCGTGAGCGGGACCGCGGGCGCACCAAGGACCGGCGTCATCACCACCATCATCACCGCCATCACAGCTCAATGGACAAGGAGCGCTTTGATCGCCACGACTACCCACATAGACACCCCCAGGACCGCCACTGGTCCCGGTCCCCCAGCGAAGGGCCAGATGGGAGAGGTCACAGACAGGTGAGCGCTAAAGTCACCGAGATTTCACAGCAGTTTTCCAAAAACAGTCACAAATAGTTTGTCTACTAAATTCCCATGCATGTGAAATATTTTTTTTTTTTTTTTTTTATCTAACAGAGTTCAATTTAATACACAGTATGTTTTCTGTTATCCTCATTGTTTGTTAGCTATTCCATTTTTCTCACCGGGTAAACATGTAGACTCAGACTCAAAATTGGCACGTTTGTTACTTTTCCTGGTTGTTTGCTTTCACAAACCAAACCCTTTGAGCAACATGTTTACCTCCTCGCCTGTGATGGCGCTGCACCAAGAACCACTGAAGGATACAACAACCTCTGAAGAAGACACTTTTTCCTTCAAACCAAAATTTAGTGGCAAGAGATTTTAGCAGTTGGAGGATTTCTCTTTTGTCTTTGGGAAAAATCCACAAGCTATTTCTCCTGCTGGTTTTAGACACGTGCGTTTCTTCATGTTGTATTTACCCAGAATGCCTAGCACAATAGTCCACTCCTGCTTTTGCAGCGGTCTCTGGTCCACTTGCATCCATATATGCATTCATACTGCACTGGAGTTCACTTAAACTGAACCTAGACGTTTAGGCGGACCGGAGTTGGCTTTTTTTGGTCACACCTTCCCAAACAAACTGGACCGTCCAGGCAAATGAACCAGAGTTTGATTAAAGCAGACTAAACAGGGCTGGTGTGAAGTTGGATAAAATACTTAAACTTTAGGAATGTAACACCACATTCTGGTTGTACACTGCGATTGACTGCGATTGACTCTCTGTGCAAGTTCATAACGCAGCTTATTTTGAAGCTGCGTTATGAACTGTTCACTTAAATTCCTGCCCCTAAATCCAAGATTCCCAGTTGTTCCATAATCCAGGTTCAAAAATGTCTTGTAACACAAAGACTGTTTTGGTTGGACAGGAGAAATCAGTCCACAGAACTTACCCATGTTTTCTCCGTAGATGATCATCAGTGTAAGAGTTAACAGTTCTTTCCATGACCCTAATTATGGATTTCAATTCATGTGTTATGTTTTTTAAATTATTTTTGTTCTTCTTTATTTCTTTGTCCTCTTTTCTGCAATCTGATGTTGTTTATTGCCTTCAATTTGTTGCTTCATTTACGTCTTAACAAATTTTCTATCTATTTTAATCTTATTTATCTCAGTCTAATCCAATCTACCTGTTTTTATCTCTCTGTATCCATTGCTGTTTTCTACTCTGGTCTTGTTGCTGTGGTGTGTTTTGATTTTCCTTGTTTACATTTTGCTGTAGGGCAGTAGTTCGGTAAGCGGCAGCCCGGTCCCCTCCACCTCGGGGACCAGCACTCCACGGAGAGGCCGCCGCCAGCTGCCACAGACTCCTGCCGTCCCGCGCCCGCACGTCACCTACTCCCCCGCCGTCCGAAAGCCCCTCTACGGCCCCCCGGGCCCGGGTCGATTGCGCTCCCCTTCCCCTCGACACTTCTCTCCGCCGGACCACGACCGGGGCTACCACCACCGGCCCCCGTCACGCCACGCCTCCCCGCACCACGGCGGCTCCTCGTCCAGGCACGGCTCACCACGCTCGCCTCGGCACCAGTCACCTCACTCGCCGCTCCACGGGTCACCTCGGTCTCCGCACCGGAACCGCTGGAGCGGACCCCCGCCGGGGGACAGCCTGGAGGGTGACGGGCCCTTCTACGAGAGGGATTACGAGTACGAGCGGCATCATGAGCCTCCCGCCTACGAGCAGAGCCTCTCCCATGGCAACCCTCATCCGCACGGTGGAAACCCTCACCCACACCCACGCTCACCAAGGACTGCTCGTCACGGGCCCCCGCCGCCCCCTCACCCGCATCCACGTAGGGTTCCTAATGGCTACCGCTCATCCTCACCTTCCCCGCATAGGAGGGGACCACCAGGGGCGCCACACCCTCACCACAGGCCTCCCCATGCCAGAGGGCCCCGCAAGGGCCTACATGAACCTTACAGTGAGACGGACGAGGATGACTGGTGCTAACGACGGCATGAGATGCAGACAGCAGAAGATGATAAGAACCATCACCTCCAGTGCTCTGGCACATATGTAAACTTTGAACAATGTGACGGTAAAGTTTCGGAGAGCCCCTCTGCTCCCCCTTTAAACTCTAAAAAAAAAAACGATGCAAGGGTGGAGGTAGAGGGACAGTGGTGCTGCTCGGAGCCTTTTACACATTTTGCAGAAAAATCAAATCTTTGACAAAGCAGCGCATGGTTATGCTAATCTCGAGAAAGTCCGGAGAACTTAGTAGGCAAGGCCAGGGCACAGGTTGACCTCTGCCTCTCAGAACTAGAGTTCCCACAACCAGCCTTTACCTGCGAGGTCTAGGCTAAAAGGGGAAAGAGAGTCGAGGGAACAGAGGTCCAAGGATGAGCATGAGGTTCTAAAACAATGTGACGGGATCATTTCAAGGCCTAACAGGCACTTTGCTCGGACTGGCACCCGACTGCTTAGGTGAGCGCAAGCTCTCACTGGCCGGACTCCTTCAGAAAACAGAAAATAAGCTGAAGTGAGGAGTACACCCTGCTTAGACTCTGCTCTAAAACAGACACCTTTAGGGAGAAAAAAATGATGTAATAAAAAGCCAGGATCCCCCCCACTAACCCTTACATGCCAAGCTATGCCTCCAGAAAATGAAACTTGAACAATGAAGAAGACGGTGAAACTTTACATGACAGTGACAATTAAAAAAAACTAAATAAATAAAGGGAGTACTTTTACTTTATCTTTATGATCTCTCTGTGTCCAAGGCAACAGAACCTAGGAAGCTCCACCTATACTGCAAAACCCAGCCAATCACAGCGCTGGCTGATGATATTCGATGAGTTTTATCATCTCTGTTTACTGTTACGGACTCACTTGATGGGGGATGGAACTGCTGTGACTGCAAAGCCCAACGTGGGCTTCACTTCTTGGAAAAGACGCAGCGGGAGGACGGGCCCAGGTTACTGGAGAAGGGGACTGGTCACTCTGTCAATCCTTTCCCTGACCAACCCAGCATACAGAGAAACGGGGACCTGACAGGAAATGACATCACAGATATTGGCGGGTGGTAAGAAGACAGGAAAGGAGGGATGGGGGGAAAAAAAGAAAAACCAGACTAATTTCTTCAGTATTTCTTCTGTCGATTACTTCTTCTTGTTCTTCTTCGGACATTCGGAGCTTGGTTCTTCTGTTGCATTCGCTCAGCCTCCTTTGATCTTTTTCAGAGTTCAAAAATCGATGGAAACCTGCATGATTGATATAATCCATACTAGAAAGGAAATCTAAGCGGTGCGGGTGGGAGTGGGACCAGGGGGGCTTTATAGGAAACTTTAACTTTTAGGTTCACAGAAGAAGTTATCTTCTTTTCAGACTCTCTCTCTCTCACACACTTTTTTTTTTGTCTGACTCAAAAGTCATTTTTTCAAAGATTTGTTGTGTTTTTTAACCTGAAGCAGACTTTAACAGATTGACAGGTTTTTCACTTGTCTCAGTTTTCTGTTGAAAACTCAGCTTCCGCAAAACCTGGCAAAGAGACGAGCAAAAGAAAGTAAAACGTTTACAGGGTCATGCTGGTGTCCTGTCTTTTGAGAAACACACACTTTTGAGAGGGAGAGAGAGAGAGAGAGAGCAGACAGAAGGAAACTTCTACCACACTTAAGTTGCTATTGTTGATAACAGAAATTAATAATGATTTAATTTCATCAATGTCAATGCAAATGAGTGACAATGATGATACTGGTGACAATTGACTGAATGTTAGAACCGTTGATGTAGACTTGCTGTCATGTTGATTGGAGTTCAGATATGCCGTGTTCATCTATTTTTATTTTTTTTCCATCCCTTATGTTGGTATCCCGTGCTTAGTGATGTCTACCGGGTTCCCGATAATCTTCGTGCAATATTTTTATTTTTGGGAAATGATGGTTTTATGAACATTCACTCGGCAGAGTTGCGTGTTGTAACACAGCTCTAAGCGAAGATGCATTCTCTCTCCAGGATAGTGGAGGGCGGAGGTCAGGGGAGCCTCAGTACCTGTCCTGCAGCAACCCGTAAGGTCTCATCAAGCCAACCCAAAGATCAGTAATGTTTAGACTGAAGGAGTACAACACATTGAGAATGTGAAAGCTGATTTTACATGTTTCTTCTTCTTCTAGGGTTGACATCGTCCGACTTATTGCCAAAAAAAAATCTATGAATCTCAAATCCTTTTTTGTTTGTTTGTTTTAGCTCTATAGTTTAACTGTGGGGTTAGTTGCCAGCACTGAAAGCACAGCATTGGTGGTACAGGGTTGGCGTCAGTCAGTGTTTGAGACGGTGTTTTGGCCACTAGAGGGCAGTAATCGGCACCCATTTTTCCTCTTCTACTGGACGGTGACTTTTTGGCCACATCCTGATCTCTCACCGTCCTGCAGTCGACTTTCCACTTTCTATAAAAGTTGTAATAAACATGAATCCGATTCTTCGTCAGGAAACACTGATATGCCCTGAGAGCTGCCGTATCTTTTCATTCGTCATTCCATTTTCCCCCCTGCCCTTCCTTCGGCCCTTTCCGTGAAGATACCCGGCCCAGTTCAGTAACTTTGTAGCACATCGGAATCTTTCGCTGCCAAAACAAAAAACATACAAAAAAATGCTTTAACAACCAACTTGTTTTTTCTCATCTAGCTTTTTGTCAATTCATTTGCTGTTCTGTTCGTTTAGCTTTTCAAAGACCAACATTACAGAAGAGAAATACCTTGGAATAACATTTTAACCCCTTATGTTACGAGGAATGACAGTTATTGAATGATCAATAATTCTAGACTAAAAGAATAGAGCATAGATAGACTTAGTTTATTACCTGAAGATGAATATAGATGTAATGTTCTAGATGTAGTTATAGATAAAACACAAAGTATAAATAGAGTTGCAGATGTTTATTTATTTTGCGTACTAATGCTACTTTTTTCACGCAAATTGCAGAAATCAGAGACAAACCGCAGCACAGACACATTTTGACTCTATGCAGACCTTATTTACATCTCCAGAGGGGAACTTGCAGCCCCCAGCGCTGCAAAAACAAATCCATTAAACAGGAATCGGCACATAAGAGATGACATAAAGACCGACACCACGTTTTCACCTCGTCACACTACATCGCATCCACAGTGAGGTTTACTTTTCACGTACATCTGTTGCTGCTTCTGTTTTTTCCCGTGGCGGATCCGTTCTCCCTGTTTCTTGAAGTTTGTTGCCTCCGGGACGTGATTTTTTTTAAGCATAGCATGGTGAATCGGACTGGGGACTGGGCTTATGTTTTGTCAGTTCAGTGGAAGCAAAGGGGTGCTTACCATAAAACCTTCTGTCCTCACCATCCAAGAAGTTACAGCAGGTGAGGATTGTTCTCCAAAGCCCCCTACAGAGCCACAGTGCCTTCTGTATCTGAGTCACATTCATCACCCCCCATGAGCCCCGCACCGCCTGCCTCCCCAGTCACAGTTGCTCTCATCAGTAACCCCTCTCCCCCTCCTAGTGTAGTCGACGTGATCAACCATGCTACGCCTTAAGATCAAATCTCACCAGCTCCCATGCTAACATTTAAAACGGGGAGTGTGACGATTTTGAGACTGGGCCACGTCAGGAAGCAAGTCAAGAGACTAGGCTAGATGCACATTCAGAATGGGCTGAACTATTTAATATCTCCCATTCAGGCACTCAGTTTTGTAACAGCTACCAAAAAAAGAAAAGAAAAATAAAACCCTCACAGCTTCAATCTGAGCCTTGCGGTTTTTGACTTTTGAAGACTCAACGGCCATCGTCTCCAGATCCCGCTAGCTGGCTAGCCCCTTTGGCTTCGGCATGGCTCCAGTTTATGTCCATCCCGCAGTTGTCCTGTGTACAGTTTGCTGATGATGTACTTAGAGGTTTACAGAGGTGCGAAGCTGTTTGCTTACTTCTCAGGTCCCTCTAGAGCTAGGTAGCTAGTTAGACCATGTAGGGAAGAACCCGCTATAGATCAGGCAGCTCCCGGTTTGAGTTATTGTATGGTTTTTACTTGGCATGGTATCTTGTTGTTGATCTCACCCCGCTCCTTTCACCACAAGTACATCATAACACACTTCAAGCTCTTACATTTCCATCTAAAGCCTGCAGAAGTGCTGCTGAAACGACACAACTTTTCATTTTGGCTCCACTTGCTCGTCCGGAATTGTAACAGCGGATCCCAAAAGGCAGACACACAACATTGCCCTTGTGTGAAAGCATACTGTGTGTATGAGCTTTTTCCAAAATACTTATCCCATTAGTTTGGAAAAAGGCAAACATCTAGTATTTTTTGTCAATTTTTTTTAGTATCTAATTGCTTTATGAAACAGTTTAGGGGGGAATGCAAGGTTGTTCTTTTTTCATCACCTGTCTTTATGTCTGCTTTCTGTCACTCTTTACTGTTAATATCTAAGTAATCTTTCTTTTTTCATTTCTTCTTCCCCATGGGATGAAGAGAAAATTAACAAGCGTACCACCCATCCGCTCAGTCGGCTGTGAAATTGTGTCAGTGGGTCATTTGTAAGGTAATGTGTTGACAAAAACACAAAAAGGGCTCTCTTTTAAAAAAAATAATAATAATAAAAACTACACAGTGGGGATTAATGTACAGTAGTGCTGCCAAAAGTTGTGTTTATGTAGCTAAAGCCACGCTGAGGTCTCCCCTTTGTACAGCACTATATGTGTGTGCATGCGTGTGTGTGTGTAGGGAGGCGGGACATTGGAGCGGGGGCCAAAACAGGACAAGTGGCTGATGTTGTAGGGGGCGGGGGGCGAACTGTTTCGGTTGGAGGGTGGCTGCTTCTGGTGGAAGCAGCAGCAGAACTTTCAGTGATGTTGATACACAATTTCACAATGGCACCAGACCACTTTTTAAGCTCACGCTCAAGCCGCCATTTTTCCACCATCATCTGATCCTCATCTGTTCCTGCTTTGAGAGGGGCAGGGCTACGGCTGTGACAGGGAGACGTTTTACTCTGTGACTGTGTGTGTGCGTGTGTGTGTGTGTGCATGTGTGTGTGAGTCGACATGTGTTCGCTATGGTCACGTTTGCTAAGGCTGAAACTGTTTCATCAAGTTACATTCTCTCTTCACACTAACGCAGACATCGAAAAAACAAAGTAAAAAAAAATCTGAGATCCTTTTTGTGAAAAAAAACAAGCTTTAATATGGACTAGATATATAGAATGATGTAGAAACCCACCTTGCGCTGGTAATACACCAATATTGGAGGATTTGATGGGAGTTTTCTCTTTCTTCCCACTGTCACCATTAAACTTTAAAATAGAAACTCAAGCCATTACTGACTGAAATTAGTCTTTTAAGCCAATTTTCTTACATTTTCTTCTAGAAAAATAAATCCTAGACTTAGATGGAAAAAGTGGGTGTGAAACATCCCTAAAGAATTAATGTGTGATTGGTACAAAATGTGCATGACGGGAAAGAGTTGTGTACAAAGCGACCAAAATCACAGGTTCCGAAACTGCAAGTTGACGAGATGAACAGCAGTTTCATTAGCTTATAGCACTGCTTCTGAATGAGCCCCAGCTTGAATGTACTGCACTTGTATTAGGATTTTTTATTTTTAAACTAAATGCCAATACAGAAAGGTTTTCGGAAATAACGAAAAGACTTTAGTTTTGAATTAAAAATTCAGAGCAGATCTCATCTGATTCACCAAAGCTAAGCTAACATTGGTGCTTTAGCTAAAAGGCTAAAGCAGCTTTTCACTGCCTTAGCTATGCCCAGGGTTGGATGTACCGTATTTGTATTACATTGTTTCTTTTTTTATTATTTTTGAACTAGTTGCCAACTCAAATTCAATGCCAATACACGTTTTTTCAGGAATAATGAAAAAAGCGTTAATTTTAAGCTAGATAGTCACAGCAGATCTGATCTGATTCACCAATGCTAAGCTAACATTTTTGGAGGGGATTTTCTATAGCGTAGCATGGCTTTAGCTGTGCCCTGGATTGAAAGTGTTTGTTTTTTTTTATTTTATTTTTTTTATTAAATATGAATACAACAATGTTTTTTTATTTACGAATAATGAAAAAAATAAATCTTAATCTTAAGCTGAATACTCAGCAGCTAAAATTTGGGGATTTTTATCTATTGCCTGAACTACACTTTTTTTTCCTATCAAAAATTGCGTTAAAATATAACCAAAAGTTTATAAAGCATATTTTAACATTGAAAATACACATAAATTCTTCCCCCACAAATACAAAATTTTAACTTAACTTGTAATGATACAGTTTAGAAAGTAAGCAACTTTTCACCCCTATCCAGGGAAATGTCAGCTGTTTAACTTTTTAATTTATTTGATTAATGGCCTAACTGATTAGATGTTTCAGCTCTTGTTGTGTGAGTGTTGTGTGACAATCCATTCATTATCATGCGTGTGTAAGTGTGTCGTCACACCATCAGCTGCAGAAGGTAACCCTCAGTGCCTTACACTGGACAGGACATGATGACTCTCTCCACTCGTGGTTGTTACTGCATCATCATCTCCTCTGTTTCTCACCCTTACTCATTCCCACCCTGGATGGGTAAGAACTGTGTGGTTATATGTGTGAGTGTGTGTTTGTTTGTAGTACCTTGTGGGGACCATTTTCCTGACACTACATTATGGGGACCCACTGCGTTGTGGGGACCTAAGCCTGGTCCCCACAAGGGGAAATGCTGTTTTTGGGTCAAAGGTCAGATTTAGGTCTAAGGTGTGAATTGAGTTTTGGTTAGGGTTAGAATAAGGGTAAGGTTTAGGCTGTAGAAATGAATGGAAGTCAATGGAAAGTCCCCACAAAGATAGCCACGCAAACGTGTGTGTGTGTTGGTAGATGTTTGAAAGAGTGAACTGTGGGGGAGTTGGTTGATAATCTTGTGTTGTGTTACTCATCTTCTCACCATGTCTCATGTCATCAGATGTGCATTTTGGCTCTGTAATTTCTGTGTAGATATTCCATAAAGTTTCTGGAAAAACTCTACTGTGTTCATCGTCAGTAATTCTGTTCTGCTGTCTTATTTTCCTCATTCCCACTCCTTACACATTCTTCATGTTGTACCATTTGTGAACACTAGGTAGCAGGATTACACTTTTTTTTAATTCCGTCATCATCAGCGAGACATAGAAGACTGAGTGAGTTAATGCTTTTCTGTGTGGGTGTGAACCTGTGAGGGTTTGTCTGTCTGCAACATGACTGTGTGTTTCTTGCACTTTATGGAGCCAAAAAATGCTTTAGAACTGATAAATATGGGCATTGGTTTATTTACCTTTATTTTTGGGCTCTAGCATTCAGAAATTATTCTATATTTTTTTTAAAATTGTAAATTCAAATTTTTTGTTTTGAGAATTTCTTCAGCTATATGTAGCAGGCATTTTTATCATTATTTATTTATTTATTGCAAATTGCCTTGCACTTATTGAAATAAAAGCCTAGTCCACACGTAGCTGGAAATGTAGGAAAATGAATACATTTTTATGTGTTCTGGCCTTTCATCCAATAAAAATCTGTTTAATATCAAAAAATATGTATAAAAACTCCAACTAAAATGGAGATTTGAGAAAACTTCCTATTTGTTTTTGCGCGTGTACATGGGGTAAACAGACATTTACGTCTACGACAAATAATACGCCAAAATATCCACATATAGCATACAATTCCCAATCAACTTTGTCTTGTGTTTTCTTATCTTTATATTCTAATACGCTATTTAAAAGTAGTTCAACATACACATCCGTCCAACTTCCTGCCCCCATGTTAAATTCCCAACAGGTTGTTTTTGAAGCAATCTGATTGGCTGATGTAGGCTTTAGCTTTCCGCTACACTGCCCCCTATGTGTTTGGCATGTTAAAACAACGCTCACGTTTGGATTTGAGCATGTTTGTGTGGATGAAATCTTTTCTGAAACCGATCCCATGTGTACGATATTTGTTTGAACAACATGAGATATTCAATTTTTAATAGAGGTCCAGCTTCATGTGTACAAGGCCTTAAGGTTAATACTTCTAATCTGATCTCTGAAGCAACAAGTTTGGCTGCATAAACTTTACACGGACGTTCACAGTGTCTCCTCCTGCCGCCTCCGCATCTCTGAAGAGCCCTCTCTCCATTTCCATTTCTCTCTCTACGTCTTTCATCCTTAATCTCATCTTCTCCGTTTGTTTCCACAAGCTCACCCGAGACAAGTTGCTTCAAGGGATTTTATCCTCAGCATTTCATTCTCAAAGATGCCGCAGGCAGATCTATAAAAAAAAAAAAGAAAAGAAAATACCTGAAAGTTCCAAATGTTTTTAACAACAGATCATATTTATTTGTTTTCCTGTTTGTGAAACTATCAGACTTAACATGTTTTGTATACCAATATTTTAGATGAACTGAGGAATAAACTTTTTAAACAAAATAGTTTAAGATAGTCAAAATCCACCAAAAATGATGCTAAGCTAGAAAAAAAAGTGAAAATCTTCCAGAGGAAATTGTTCAAAACATACAAATTTTGAGAGAGGATTAAATAACAAAGGCTTCAGGCGAACAGTTTCCTACAAATTGTCGAACATTTCAAAGGACTCAATCACAAAGTAGTGTTTCTTGTGCAGAGATGCAGCGGGAGGAACTCCCTGAAGCAATTGTGAAGCATCCATCTCATTTTAAAGCATACCATCCAACGCTCGAGCCAGTAGAAACCGTACCAGTGCTACACTAGAAAAACCATACAGGATTCATTCAGCAAGTCAGGGGGGTGTGATGGGGAAAGAAAAATACGAGCATACATGGCAATTTATGATAAAAGAGAAGTATTTAATTACAGATTTGCATGTGCAATGTGCATGCCACTATGTGGGATTAACAAATCAACTTCAGGAACTAACAAAAAAAAAAAACTGAAATTAAATATAAAGAAAAAAAAGGATATATATATAT